CACACACACACACACACACACACACACACACACACACACACACACACACACACACACACACACACACACACACACACACACACACACACACACACACACACACACACACACACACACACACACACACACAAGAAGACAAATACGAGACCGCCGTAGCAAGGAATCCCTTCGTCGTATTATTCCAGATACCGGCCCAGTTCCTTTCTCCGGGCCTCGGCCCCCGAGGCGTCGTCGGCTTTCGTTTCCTTGGCTTTTACATCACCGCTTGCTCCACGACTCGTGACTTCCCATTCCTCCTCTCCCCCACCAGTGTTTGGCCCGCCTCTCCCCCACCACCACGGACGCCGGCAGTTCATTTCTGGTTTCCTTGCATATGATCCCCCCCCTCTACATCATGCGATATCCCCGCTAACCCGCTTGACCCCGGTCCATGACGCACCTGACCCCCAGTTGCAAGGTCCTCATGCTGGATGAGGCCACCGCCTCCGTGGATGTGGACACGGACGCGCACATTCAGGACGCGCTGCGAGTGCAGTTCGGGGACTGTACATGTCTCACCATTGCCCACCGCCTCAACACCATCATGGACGCGGACCGGGTCCTTGTGCTGGATTCGGGGCTGGTGGTAGAGGACGATGAGCCGGCGGCGCTGCTGGAGAGGGATAATGTGGGTTGCTTCGTTGTTAATTAACTGGTTGGTTCGTTGGTGGGTTGAGTTATGTGTGGGTGGGTTGATGAGGGGGATTTTGGTGTTGTCGCGTTCGAAGAGGTGGTGTGGACTGTTGAGGGGCTAAGCGTTCCGATAGAACCTGAATAATAATAGTGCAATCCCAAGTCTATAATATATATATATATATTTTTTTTATTATATATATATATTATATATTATAGACTTGGGATTGCACTGAGCAGGGGGGGTGCCTCGGTGTGGATAAGTGTATGGGGAAGAGGTGGGTAACGGACTCCCAGGGCTCCCCCCCGCTGAGGACCCCTCAGGAACATACCGCTCGCTGTGTCGACCGTCTTGTCAGCCTGCAGCCGCGCGCTGCATTCCGACGGCCATTCAACGTCAATGGCTTGTTGCTGACGCGGCTGCCGCCGCCACCTCTCGCGTCATTGTCATCACTGCAGAGCATCTTTTCGAGCATGGTGGACCAGACGGGCAAGAAGACATCGCGCTTCCTAAAGGGCCTCGCGCGCTCCGCCGCAACCTTCCGCGCTGAGAGCCTAGCGACCGGCACCCCACGCGCCGTCGTGCTGGAACGCATCCGCTCCCTTTTCAGCACGAATGCTTCCTTTGCGGCGCGCGTTCCCAGCTTGACCGCCGGCAAGGTGAGCGTGGAGGGTTGACCGAGACCCACCCTGAAGCCTGTGGGCACGGTAATTGTTCACTTTCGTGTGCTTGCTGGAAACTTGCAGGCGTGCTTTTGCTGTAGGGTGCTGCTTCTGTTCTGTTGCTAAGATTGTGCGGCTGTAGTGATTTTTTAGGAGGGGTTTCTGTGCGTTCCAGCTTGATATTACTGTTGGCAGTTGACGGCGCCTCGTATAGCACCACAGATTGATTAGACCCTGGTTGCATGTGCGGTGGCAAGGTAGCAAGTCAGTCGTGTGTGCCGCGTTCCCGACTCAGGCGGGCTGTGAAGCCGCGCCGCGAAGCTGCTCAGAGCCGGTACGCTACGGCGCGGCAGCTGATATGTTATGTACGGGTCCTAGTTCAGAGAGACTGCGGGTGGGAAAAACCTTCAGCGACAGCGACGCTTTATGGCTCACGGTCTATGGAAGTCCACTGGGAAGGAGATTGCTAGGGTCCTGCTGTGGTGCTGCTCCGTCGGCCGGGGGGAACAAGTATGGATGTGTACATGTACTGCCACCGGCACTACCCCCGGGAGGGCCGACTGTCCTCGCCGTGATTTCCGTCCAAGGCCTTCCATTTCTTCAATTATTATAAAATTTGATGGGCCTGATTCTTGTAACCAATGTACTTGTGCGTTGGTGGGATCTTGTTCGCCACTGCAGGAGGATGGAGAGCAGACGGGTTCGGAAGCGCCGACGCGCTTGGGTACATCTAACCTGGAGGTGCGTTCCGGGGTTTGCGTTCTTATTGTTGCAATGCACTGGCTCGGTGGCAAAGCATGTCGTGGCCTGACTCTTGGGGGGGTCGGATAGTGCTTCCCGGAGAGCAGGGTAAGGATAGCTGCTAGCCCGTTGCGGACACCACCACCACGCGGAAGCAGCAGGCCTCGAGAATGTCGAGAGCAGTTGGGGCCACGAATAGTTAGAAGTGGAAAGATGTATATGGCATCTGTGAACCAGCAACTCTGTTCTCACCATCAAATCTTAGCCACGGCCATTTAGTAAGTGTCCTTTGCGGTTAATGCGTGTGGCCTGCCGTTTCTCTATACCTTAACGGCAGCGATCGAGCGGGGCCTTACAGTATCCGAGATGCTGATCCTACCCTACAAATGCATTTCCTTTTTTGCCTGTAGATGAATTCGGAGGCACCTCAGAAGGCTCAGCTTCCGTGCAACAGTGATACGGACGACGGCAAGGCTACGTAGAGAGTTGAAACACCGTGTAGGGCGTGACAGTGATTTAAGCGAATTTGCGTGTGTTCTCCGCGGATTGGGTCGCGCGGATAGCCAAACCGTTTTATGTTTTCGCATCCCTTCTTAAGCTAGTCTGAGAGTTTGAGTCTGAGAGCGAGTGCACGCCCGCATTATTAGACCTATTGCCGCGCGCGCCTCTCCTGTGGTCATGTAATTGGTAGTGACAGGTAACGGCATGTGCGCGCCTGGCGTTTGCCTGAGGGATGTTGTTTGTGACATGCGTAAGCCGTTTTTTTGTGGCGAGAAAGCACCTAGGGAGAGTTTTCGCATGGAGAGGATTTAATCTTGAGTGCGAGAGGGGATTGAGAATCTATTTATGCAGGACAGGGAAATTTATTATTGATTCACCAGTTGAGGCTGTGGCCTGTGGGTTGCTTTCCTTTCAGTACAGGTCACGTTGTGGAGCGTTCCGTGTGTCGCCGCGATAACCTCACAGCCAAAGAGCTTACAAGGATATGCATTCACAGTCCCCCATGAGTACGTGCTTTGGGGGAATTGCTTTGATAGTTCTCTTGTTGATGTGGTCCAACGATTCGGATCAGTTTTGTGCTCAACCACCCTATATTCTTGTATGCTTTCAAGCCCTCCGCTAGAGAGCTGCGCAGGATTCGTTCATAGATCCAGCGGTCGCATATACGCATAGCTGCAGGAACACAATTTCCTACAAATAAACTTTTACATCGTCTACCCACCTCACCCAACGTGAGAAAAAATACCTTACCCATAAACATCTGTCCACTATACTCTGAAACATCATGACGCGCACAGTCAAAGACCTGTAAATAGCAGAAGTCTACCTCGCCAAGTCCACATGCACTGCAACCTGCAGCTGCCCCGCTCGTCCGAATTGCCGACGTCAAAATAATCATTACTAGCGCGAGGACAGTTTCCCCCCCTCGGGGTCACCATGTATTTCCAGTGGCTAAGGCCAAACCCAGCCTGCACTTGGAAACTAGAGGCCGGAATACGATCCAAGTTTGCAACGACCGCTGTCATGACCCTGTAGCACGTGCTGCACTTGAGTGCAGCCACTTCCCTGCCACGCCCTCCGCAGACTGCACCGCAGCGCTAGTTGGCTAATAGTCAATGCAAACCCCGGTGTATTTAAACGTTGACGGCGTATTCTAAGTCCATCATTGCGACGGCGGCCGCTCTACCAAGTCTGCCCTCACCGCGTCTGTTGCGACGTGGAGATATACAGGCCCGACGCGTCGGCACCGATGCGCACGAAATCACCCAGCGGCGAGATTTGGCCCTTGCAGTCAGGGACAAAGCGCGCACCGGTGTACGGGTCCTCCACGTATTTCGATCCTTTGTAGATGGGCGTGAAGGTAATCGCGCACAGGTCGAAGGGGTTGCGCGGGTCGTAGTTAACCTTAACGGCGTCCGAAGGGTTTTTTTCGCAGGCAGCCAGGACGGTGCGGGCCTGCTCCGCAATCTTGGCGCCCGCGTTAAGCTCCAGGAGCCTATTTAGGAGGACAGAGTAAGAACGGCAATGCGTCACAGGGCGGTGCTAGTAAAGGTTTTGACGTTAGACGGAAGACATCGCTCGACGGAAGACGGAGGACATCGCTTACTGCAACCAAGGCGGTGCTAGAACATCACGTTGCGCATGCTGCTGCACCCTACTTAGGGCGCCTTGCACTGAGCCCTAAACCTGAGATCACTGCCTCAGCTAAACCGGGACAGGACTGGGACATGTGACGATAAACGGCTCCACTTCCGCCAGGTAACGGGACACACGATGGTTACGGCGAAAAGGCAGGAAGGTTGATAGCGACATCGGATAGCTATTGCGCCGTCTGACGCTCATGGCTATCATTCCTTGCCAGCCGCTTGGGAGGCCTCAGATTCAAGCCTTCCGCGACATCCAAGCCCCGCGGGCCCTAAAACATTATGATATCAAAAATACAACTGATGCAGCCTCGCAACGTACCGGCGGCAGAACGTGGCGCAAGTGGCGAAGTTCTTAAGCTTAAAGAAGATGGTCATGGCGGAGCGCAGGGAAAGCGCAAGGTGCACGGACTGCAACCGGCAGTGGGTGAAGTACGCGGCTAGTTCGGCGTTGCGAGCCATGTCGTCGTCACGCAGCTCCTTGCGCTTTAGCTCACACCTGGAAAATAGCGGTTGAACGACGCATCAAGTTGAGGGGCTCTTGATTAGCGAGACTGTGGGCGCCCATGTCGTGTGAACGGACAGCGCATGCATGGAAACATGGGGTGTTCTACCCAGCATAACTACACATAATAGACGGACCTTTACCATATCACTTGCTCTCATGCTATGGTCCACTCTTGCAGCTATTGCCTGACTTAATTCGCCTGGCTTCCGGTTCTAAAGACGTCACTCCCCAACACACGCCATCCATCTCACCGCAGCGCCGTGTGGTATTCCCGGCAGATGGTGAGCAGCTCCTTAACATCATCTACCTCTTTCCGGCTTTCCACCACCGTAAGCGGGATCACGTGCAGCATGCGTGTGAAGGACCGCAGCGCGTCGCTGAACTTGCCCTCCGTCACCAGCTTGTATGCCGCCTTGAGCGACTCTTCCAGCGCCGAGAGGCTATAGAGCAGCGTCGGCGTGGTGGGCGGCTGCGATGATGCATCGCTGTTCCAGGTCCTGAAACAGTAAAGAAAGAAGAGAAGCAGAGAAATTGGCCATGGTGACGTCGGCGAAGTTGGTGCACGCAGTTAACAATGCATCCATGAACCAGGAGAGCGAGCAGACGTTAGCGCGTCGTTCACGGTGCTATGATGCTGTCTACAGTACATGTGACGCCCTTCTTGTCAAGTTCTGCTGTGCAAAACTGCGATTCGATGCAGCTTACAAACAGGCGAGCTTATTGGACCTACGAACAACGTGCAATGTGACTGCGATGACACGTGAAATCTGCACCAAAACGAAACTTGTCCCTGCCCACCTATCTAGGTGCGCCAGCATGGATGGCATTCCATGCAGCCCCGGCAGAGAGGCGAACGACGCAATGTAGAGCTCCATGAAATACGGTTTGAGCGGCTCGAAGTTTCCAGCACCAAGCTGGCGATGCAGCAGCGACATGGCAGTGGCCCAGCTGCCAGCCGCCGCGTGTTCCGCCGCCAATTGCGTGCGCCGATCCAACCAGCGCTGGCTAGCGGGCGCACCCGGCGCTGGAGCTGAGAAGGGCGCGGCTGCGCCGCCGGCTGCGGCAGCAGCGGCCTCTGCCACGACGTCCGCTGGCAGGTCAAGATCCTCCATTTCCCAGCCCTCCGAGCCGCCCTCGCCGCCAATGCCCTCCAGTGCGTCCTCAGCCTCGCCGTTCTCGGCTGCATGGTCAGGTTGGGTATTTCCCTTCGTTAATGTACCTTCTATCGCCACAATGTACCTTCGTATTGACCGGGTAATCGGCTCCCGGCAGGAACCCGTCGAGCATGCAGCTGTTTGCGAAGATGATGTGAACCAGTATGCAGGCGCTGAATAGCAAGATATACGATAAACGAACGCAGAACATCGGCCTGCTCCAAGTGAGATGACACGGGCGCTGCTGTGGTGTACCCCAGAAATCGCATCAAAAGCAGCAGCACGTAAGCACCAAAAAAGAGCACCACGACAGTGACATAGCAACGCACCTCCGATCCCCAGATCCAGCTCATCTGCCCCCCACCCGGCGCCCTCAAGCGCGCTCTCGTCCAGCTCCATGGCCGCCGCAGCGGCAACCGCTGTGCGGCCCTTGCCTGCACCCGGCGCGGCCACCGCACCCGCTCCGGTGGCCGCTGATGCAGCGCCCTTGGCGGCAAGTGTCTCGAAGAATCCCTTAGAAACAGTTAACAAGGGCCAGTTATCCTCCCGCAGGATGGGGATGGGTGGCTGCATGAGGTTGGCTGTGTCCTCATCAGGCACATCCGGAAGCAAGCCGCCCAGCTTGGTAGAAATGCGTTCAACATCCTCCGACAGGCCGTGCACGGCGGCAGCAACGTAGGCAAGCGGCAGCTGGCCTGACTCCTCCAGGATACGGACCTGCGGGTGCGGAAGCGCACGCAAATCACATTGCAAATGCGCCACCTCGACAAGCACATAGCCTTCTACATGCCATGATGGCCAATTTGTGAATATTGTCATTCCCGCCCGGCAGGAGAACGATGGCCGCCAAACAGATATCGCATGGTCCCTAACGCCCGGGTATGTGCAAGTCTTCCCACAGCAGCACCTTTTTTTCCGGGCTGCAAAGTCCCATCCGCACAGTAACCTTGGCACACGAACCTGCTCCTTGACATCGCCCAAGTACAGCGCGTTGTGGAAGCGGCCCATGACATCCGACCGCATCTCTGCAATCTTCAACATTTTGCGCAGCTTGTCCGTGTGCCCGGCAATGAGATACAGGAACGACAGCCGTTCGTAGCTCTTCGTCTTCTGGTACGAAAATTCCACAATGTTGTAGTTGCCCTGGCGCAGCGCCTCCACCCCTGAAGGTGAGAGTTTAGGGTCGGCGCGCAGAATGCTTAAATATCAAGCCGTGGTTTCATATACCCAAGTGCACTTGCCCCAAATATACTCATGTATCACGCGCATTAGGGTCGGCCCAGCGATATTCACGCCAACCCATCGAACCCAACGTTGCCATAAATAGTTACACCAGTCCATCTACGCGGTCAGCATCCTGAACCGCAACCATCACTTGCCCTGGCTGTGCAAGCTCACCCAGGCAACCCCGAAGTCCTCGCTCCTGCAACCCAACCTACCGAGCCTGTACCAGGTGTCCTTGTCATCCAGCGCTTGGGCCGCCTGCAGCGCCACCTCAATGTTCCCGCACTGCACCGCCAGGTTAAAGCGCGACCGCTCGTCGGTGACGAAGTGCAGCGCCACCTCGGGAAAACCCTTTTGCTGCAGATATGAGATGATGGCAGTGCCGCACAAGCCACCGCCGCGGACCATGTTAACCACGGCGTCGTAGCGGCCCTGCAGCAGCGCCAGCTTGAACATGTACTCGGTGGGATCCACCTGGACGTGTCGCAGGAGTGAAACCAGAGGCAGGATTAAGGAAAAGGCTGGTCAGGGAGGTGAAACATAAGAATTATGCGGAAAGCATGTGGGAGATGGCCAGAGTCAAGAAGCTGCGATACAAATAGTGATGATCAGCTTGACCAAGAACCAGCCGGCAGCTCTGGGCCCTATGGCTGGTGCAGTTACCGCTGGGCTGCTACCAGGGGACCCACCACACCTGAATGGTCCGGTTCTTTCCCTCGCGGTCCAGGGCATGCACCACACCGCCGGCGACGCGCGTCACGTAAAGCGGCGAGTCCAGGGTGCGGATGATTCCCGAGTCCCCGTTGGGCAAGCAATATTTGAGATGGTTGAGAGTGGTGTACAGCAGCACGCCGCTGTCGTCCCAAGCTGCACTCTTGACGCGAATGGTCTCATGAACAGTCTGAGCGCCACCCAGCCGCTTATCTGCGATGATGATGGCGTGCTTGGACAGCAGCGCCACCATCGACATGTCGCTGTTCCACACTACATACTTAATAAAGGGTGTGGCCAGCTCCGTGAGAGAGGTGCGCTGCTGCATGTCGTACAGTGTCACCTGACAAGGGAAGGGACAAAAAGAGGGGCTTTTCCTATTAGCTTGACCGACAGCGGCAATAAGGAAAAGCCGAGATAAGCTGATGGATTGGCGGCAAAAAAAGACAACTGTGCTGCGAGAACGCTGACACCGCACCTTGTCCTCCGAACGGCACAGCAGCATGCCGGTGCCCGCGTAGAAGATGGCATCGGTGGTGGCGCATGGAGTGGGCACCTTTTTGGTGATCTCATTCTGCAGGTTGCGGATCTGAATTGTGTTGGTGGACTTGTCCAGCACGGCGAAGCGGTTGCGGGCGATGAACACAGCCGAGGTTCCCAGGCCGCGCTTGGCCTCCTGCAGGGTCAATGTGCAAATAGCCGCACGTGAAGAAATAGGCGCGGTTCATGACACCATTTCACGAGAACATATAGCCATTAAGGATCTATGGCCCGAGCGCAGGAAACAACGACTCGGCGCGGCGTCATCACATTAGCACTGCTTCACTCACCGGCGCCGTGTCGCCACGAGCAGCTTCCTTGGGAATAGCGTACAGCTCGTACGAGCCGCCTTCCACGTCCGAGGTGATGAGCAGAGCGTTCTCCGCTGGATTGTATGCCAGTGTCTTGGGACCCTGTGGTAGGGCAGATCCGGCCTGTGATACACCTTGTCTAATACATATGAACAAGATGATGTTTCCCAAGGTGTCCAGGTTGGATGTCAGAGCTGCACCCATGTGACTTTAGAGGGGCTTTTGCGAGGGGTTCGGAACACCGCGCAACATTTTAACCAGATTCCAATCCCACGATGCAGCTGTGACACACGGACCTGGTTGGCGCCAGCGCTGCCGGCCCGGCGGATGGACATGAGCGGATTATCCCTCTGCGTCGCGAAGTCGTAGGTGCGCAAATAGCGGTCCTTCACGTAGTAAAGCGTGTTTCCGTGGGTGGCGCAGGCGGGGCGCTCACGCTCCAGCTTGAACACAATCATGCCGCTGCGGGTAAAGAAAGATGCGAAGAAAATGGAGCCAAGCGACAAGAAAATCCGGTGAACGAATAATGTTGGCTATGCGTATTCTTCCTGTGCATGGAAGTACTCACACCCTCAAGAGACCTGGGCGAACACAAAAAATATTTTGTTCCAACCGAACCACGACAGCCTCTAACAGCGTCACTCAGTGCGAGGGACGCACTCGACCCGCATTGATTGGAACCACACAGCAGAACCCCAAAATGCGCCTGCGGACCTTGACCAGCTTTCCACCACCTACCCATCGTGGCCAGCGGCAAGCAAGTTGATCTCCGGATGGCTGGCCAAAATCCAGAACCGATCGTGCTCGCGACGGAATGTCTGGACACCCGTACGCTTCGACATGTCCCAAACCCGGATGCTCTTGTCTTCCGAGTTGGAGATGATAAGGTCCTGGGGCTAGGAAAGGCAGGACCGACGTTTTGCCACAGGATAAACAACGCGCTACACCGCAAACAACCCTTTTCCACTTGGGGGAATGCGCACAGTGTTACGGTGCGCCGTAAGTATTCACAGTCTCCCATAGGCGATATGACCTAAGGGCTGAGCTCTAGGCGTGCCAAACTAGACCCAACACCAGACCCAGCACCGCATTGCCTAACCAATTTTTCACCCTTATCATTAATGATTTACAGATAAACACGTGCGGCACTCAGGAAATGGCAATTAATGCAAGCTCTGTTGTCGATAACGGGAGGAATCCATCTGGAGGGGCATACACGGATTTACATGCGGAGTGCATTTCCTAGGTGGATAGCATTCGCGATTGTTCCCAAGCGTCCCATCTGTTGCGCTGAGCCCAGTACGAGCGGTGGGGACTTGCGCGGGGGTCAAGTAGCCATGGAAAGGCTACATGCAAGCTGGGCCAAAGCACAGGCCCCAAGGGCTAATCCGGTCGTGGCAGAACATCGCAAACTCACCTGGCGTGCATGGAACATGACGCAGGAAACGTTGTTGGTGTGGCCCCGCAACGTGTCTACCTCCCACGCCTTGCTCTCTGCACACAACACAAAACCCACTATCGTCATGATGTCGTTTGCTTGAGCATAAAGCTGTGTTAAGTGATGCGCCTACGACCCGCAAAACCCGGCGCATGGAAACATAAGTTTGCGTGGAAGTGACGCACCGAGATCCATCGGCCAACTTCAATCATACGGTTGACTTGTTAAGGCCGCTGTGGCAACCTAAGAATGCTTCGAAACCAGCCTTCCAGTGTGCATACCGCAACGCCCGCCTGGCCCATCCCGTCAACATGTGTAGACACATGAGACCAAGCCTTCCTTGGCTGAGACCAAGCATCTGCTCGCCTCCCTGAGTCATTCACGTCTCCATACGCAAAGACGGTTCCCCATATGCTTCTCCCTTTCACTAGCCCCCTCCCATCCTCCTTAAGTCGCACCATTATAGCGCCAGAGCTTAACCTGGCGGTCATCCGCGCCGGACACAATGAGGGGCAGAGTGGGATGGAACGCCGCCCAATTGACGCCCCTGTCATGTCCCTCTAGCACGTACTTGACGACTGCATCGCCGCCGCCAAAGAGGTCCGCGTTCATCTGCGGAACACAATGACGCGCCAGTTAAGTTTTGTGCCGGTCCTCAAAGCATGTCTGATTCTAGAAATCGTGACGGGAATGGGGAGCCCAGCCGCCTGTCCTTCAAGGGAGACATATCCCACAGCACGCCGCCTGTCCTTTAAAGTCGGCCAGCCTCCCCGAGTTGCAACCCCCTGCGAATGGCCTCTACGCCGGATGCTAAAACTGCTGTCGCAAGTACGATCACTAATCCAAGCAATTGTTCATGTTCATTGCATATGCGTTACAGACGAGACACCACCCAACCTCATGCAATGTGGTAAGAAAAAATGTACTGTGGCCTCAACCGTTACCGGTGAACTGATGGCGGTTCTGTGATGTGGCGGAAAATGATATGCGACGAACAGCCCACAATAATTGACGACAAAAAAGGGGGAAAACATGGGACCAAGTCCAATAGACCAATCGTTCTATGGAGCTTTGACGGCCATACATGGGATCCCCGAAACTCCCTAAGATCCCTTACTGCATACCATCACGACTATCACTACCATTGCCGCCACTATCACTATCGTTGGCCCCACAGGTTAACCACGTTCATATCCCCGAATTAGCTCCCTGTGCCATGCCGGCACATGGCGCCCTCCAAATTTGCGGTAGTAAATCCGGCCAACCTTCCAAGCCTACCTGGGGGAGACGTAAGACGTCCTCTCCGCCCGGTGCCACAGTCTTCTTGCGGAGGCCACTGATATCCCAAACGCGGACCGTCTGATCGAGTGAGGCTGACACCACCAGGTCCTCTTTGGGGTGGAACACCGCGCACATGACGTAGTGGTTATGCCCCGTAAGCACCGAAATGCAGGTGCGCGACTGCCAGTTCCAAATTCGAATGGTCTGATCATCGCTGGCGCTGACAATCCATGGGTACTCGTGGTGAAACTGGACCGTGCGAATGTAGTCCAGATGACCCAGCAGTGTGAACAGGCAACGCCGCAGCTTGTAATTCCAAATCTTAATTTTATAGTCATCTCCACCTGACACAAACAAGGGCTGTGACTTGTGGAAATGTACGCCGCGCACAGGACCATCGTGCTCGTCAAAGCGGTCGATCAAGGTCCCCATGCGGTAGTCCCAGAGCTGCGAGGAATGATTTCGCAAGGCCCGTTAGCACAAGCTTTGCGGAAACGATGTGAAAGGTAAGAATATCTGTCTCACCTGGACGACGCCGCTGTGGAGCGACGCAAGGATCCATGGCCTGCAACAGCATTTGATAGCAGCCCCGCAATCAGCAAACCTCCATGTCTTTGCTATCCATGCGCTCAAACACAAAACCGCCCACATGGACGGCCAGTTGTCCAGACCATGTTCCCGAGCCGAAGTGTACGCACCGCTTCGGGTGGAAGGACAATCCCTTCACACGATTGCTCTTTGTCTCAAATTTTGTCAGCATTTTTGAAAGTGGCTAGTTCGGAGCGCAGCTGCAACTAGCGCACACCGAATAAGGCAGGTTGGATGTCAAGGCAACCGTCAAATAAAGATCTGCGTTTTATCGAGGTTAGTGGAAAGCCACTAGCGGCCCCGCAGGGCACAAAACTTCTCTACTCGACCGAAGATCGCTAGTTAGCAGGGCGTCACTGCACAAGCATCATACGTCCGCCCCAAATGTTGGGCCGGTACAGCAACCTTTTAGCTCTGCAATGGTCATGAGTACTATACCTAGCAACTGTTAGAAATTGTCGGGTTGCCGTACGCCTTTGTCAGTTACCGCCATAAAAGGAAGACGGGGATTAAAAGGGTATTCAGGGATTCTTAATTCATTGCCTCAAAGGAGAGGTCGCCGAGCTTTTCCATGAGATTTTGCGGACGGCTTAGGGTTTTACCGAGTCCTTTCCATTAGATGAGTACGGCTGTAACCACCCTTCCGTTACCCTGGAATTAGGGTCTTACAGCAGAGAGGAGGCTCTCAATGTTAGAGTAATCCAAAGTCTTCCATGTAATGAGTCCGCTTGTTTCGGACATAACTCAAGCGTAAGATCCGATGAGTGAATTTCTTGTGCACTTTCTCGTACGAGATAAAGCACGGAAGAGTGGTAAGCAAGGCCACGGGACGCGCTGTAGGAGAGCACCTGCGCTATCCGTACATTGCTCGTCCGTTCTGGTACCAACCACGGGTCGTTCGACAACCGCCACAGCATATACGCAATCGGGTGACCCGATTCGGGTCGGACCCGCAGATGCGCCGCCTTGACAGTGACTTGCGCTGTAGCAAGGGCGATATAACACAGAAGCTGTGGATGGTCAAACCAACTAAAAGTCGCGGGGCCCGGTAATTGTGGATCCCGCAACGCTACCGCGGCTTCGCAAATACCGTGCCGCCCATTATCCCTTCACCGCTTTACGTACTTTCAACCTACCCACTATAGCAACCCCCCCAGCAAGACGTGCACAACTCCAGCTGTTCTGTTACATAAACAATCACCCCACGCGTTCGACCTCCACGGGGCCCCTCATCCCAGCACCCTCGTGCCTGCACCTGCCGTAGTCCCCAACCCCTTCCCTTCGCCCGTGTTCATTCCTTATTCCCCCTGACCACTTCCATTGCCTAGGTTCAACTTCCTTGCCTAGGTCCAACTCCTGCTGCTTTGAAAACGTGGTGCCAACCACCGTGCAACCCAAGCCGGGTCGCCCACTCTAGCCGTCACAACATTACATTCGTTATCATCATGCGCAAAATGTAAGGGACCTCCGCGTAACGCCATTGCTATCCCTACTGCGTTAACACCGCCATGTCATGCTTCCTGGCCGGGCACCCCATACCAAGGGCACACTCTTCACTGCAGCAGCCGTGTCACAATGCCCACTGCCAGTGTACGGCCTCCCTCCCGCAGCGCCACTCGCCCGAGAGCTCGATACTCCGAGTACTCCTCCAGCACCAAACCGCGAGCCGCAGTCACCTCCAGCAGCGCTATCTGGCCCTTAGTCAGGCAGCGGGGACGGGACTGCAAGGGGGTGGGGGGAAGGAGGCCGACGCGGGAAAGCGGACCGGTCAGAGGTAGTGGAAGCGGAGGGGGGAGCCGGGGGTAGAAAGGTTTAAACACCTAAGAACGCGGTAGGGGAAGAGGAGGGCAATGCTGTGGAAGTGGGAATATAAACCAACCTCGAGGAAAGCTAGCAGTGGCGTCTTAAGAACCTCACCTCCCCGTTTTCTCCTTATTCCCACAAGGGAACTCCGCTACCCCGCAAACCCCGGACTCCCAACACGTAACCCAAGCCATGCATGGCACCTGGTTCCCAGCGCCAAGCCAATCACCTCTCGCGTTTGGCGTTTGGCTCTTATCACCGAACAAAAACTTCGCGCAAAAACCTAGCTCATGCCTGGCTCATTCACCGGAAAGCCCATCTTGCCGATCTTCCCGCTCCGTAAATCCTTGGCCCCTTTTAGGGCCCCCCATTCCGCCTACCTTGACCACCTCGCCGGTTCGCGGATCCAAAGTGGCGGTCAGGGCGGTGATGTGACCCTCCTCCCGGGCGGCATGTGCGTGCAATGTCACCACGTGGCCACGCAGCAGGGGAACAGGCGTGTCGAGAACCACCACTCGCAGTTCAAACCTGGGGGACAAGGACACGGCGGAGCGAAAAAAGTGCGAAAAAGCGCGGCGGATTCGTGCGATAAGGGTGTTTGGTGATCCCTGGCTACTGTTCTCGCCATGCGTTGCCCGGAAACGGAAGGTGCTGGAAGGGAAGGAAAATCAGCAGGGATGCAAATTATAATTTCTGTCGGGTTAGGTGTGTGCAATGCAGGGCCAAGAGAGAGGACGCGGGAGGCGGCCAGTTCGAGTGCCAGTGCCCTTGCACGGGGGAAGGGGCGGGGGAGGGCGCGTGCCGTGTGTGGATGAACGGCTCACCGGGTTACAAGCACGGCGGGGAAGTCTGGGTGGCACAGCACCGCCCCCGGAGCCACGGAGGCGGGGTCGAAAGCGCCTCCGCCTCCACCTCCTCCCCCCGCCCCGTGGTGATGGCCCCCCACCAGCGCAACCTCGCAGCTGTCGCTCGCGCGAGCTAGGTGAGAGGGAGACCCGCTGACCTGCACATACATACACACATACACATACGCATACACATACACGCTCTCTCCCACAAATGCCACAAAAGTAAGATTTGAAATAAGACGGGACCAGACGACAAGGTTAGGAAAGTGGTCACCTTTGCGACCCATCCACGCGGATGTGCGTTTAGAAGGCACACGGGGTGGGGTTGGTAAGGGGTCTTGGTGCGGCGTGAGGGGGAAACCGCGTCCAAGAGGGAACAGCGGCGATAAGAAAGGATGGCTGACAACCTACGGAGCAACCGCGCAGAGAAAACACGCAGGCCGTCGCGCAAAAAACGTGTGATTGCAGGTTATTACGTGGTGCTCCATACAACCACTTTCCTCCTTCCCCGCACGCACAGGCAGGCCCTGGCTGGTCTGTGTTAGCTCACACCCTTTGCGAAATTAAAATTATCTTCCCTTCCCGGCGGCCTTCCCCCTGCGACTGGAGCCCCCGCCAAACTACCCTCTCCTAGGCTGGCACCGACTCACCTCTATGGAGACCGGGGCTTTTCTCCTCCCTCCTACACATGCATCTATAGCATAGATATACACATGCGTCTTGCCCCCTTCTTGCGTTCTGCGTATGATCCCTCCCTCCGCAGCTCCTGGAGAACCCCATCTCGACGCGTACCTCGAGGCTTCTGACGGTAAATGGCTGGCCTGGTCCCGGCACCAGAACCACCTTGCTACCGGGCCGCAGTGCCCCCCCCTCCACCTTGCCGCCAAGCACCACCGCACCTAAGGGAGTTGGGAGTTGGACGTCGTTAGGGCGGAAAGGGCAAGGACCAGGCAAACCGATGATGAGGAGACTCAATGAGCATGATACACGAAACCAAAACGCGGCGCACACGTGGGACAGACGCAGAGAGGAAGGTTCTTTCGAGATTTTTAGCTTGGGAGGCATGTACGCTGCAAAGGAGTGTCTGGCGTGTTGGACATGTCTTTTCTTGACGTGCCTGTCCGACTCTTGAAGACGTCAGTGATGGGCATTCTCAGCGGTCGTGATGTCGCTCTCTCCCGGGGGATGAAGTTGTCGATGGCCGCTACCACACTCAGCCCGGAGCTCCACCAGGCAGCCAGTGCAGGGTCCTGAACCAGGGAAGAGGGGAAATGCTTTTTTGGTGTGTGTTTGTGTGAGAAGGAATCAGGTGCAAAAGGCAAAAAGACAACTATCGACGCCCGGGGAAATGGAGGGGTTGGGAAAGGAGGAGGACAGATTGGATCTGCACGATTTGTAAAAACGGGGCGGAAGGAAAAATGAACGACGGAGGGAATGGGCCCTCCGCCTTTTAGCTATCCGACGTAGGTTCCCCTGCTTGCCTTCCTCCTTACACCGTCGTCTTGAGTATCCCCCCCGACCCTCGATCCCCGCTGCGGCCCCCGCGCCTCCCCACCTGCGGGGGACCCACGAGGTTCTCCCCCAGGGGCCCCGATGCGGGCAGCCACTGCAGCGACGACTCCTTAAACCCCACGGACTTGAGGTACGGCAACAGCATTGTGCGAATGGCGTCGAAGCGGGCCTGTGCGCAAAGAGTAGTCAGCGGTCAAGCAACAAGCAAGGCTTACGAATAAATCAAACAAGCGAGCAAAGGAAGTGGAACAAAGTATGGAGGAGTAGAATGGCGTGAAGACTTCGGCGAGGGCAGTACTGGCGTGCGCATTGGGGAACGGGAGGATTTCAATCTGTGTGAGAGGACTGCGGAGCTGCGGGCGCCCCTATGGAGGGCAACTTGAACATGAAAGTCGGGGTAGTGCGGGTGGTAGGGCGATGTTGCCCTGGATGGGATGCTCCCAAACTCACTATCCCCTCCGTACACGGTCAACCCCTTGACCTCACAGTCGAACTTCTCCAACAACCACAACAACAACAACCAAAGGACCGTATCGCCCACGCACCCAATCCTAACCTGCACTACCCGCTGTTCGCAGTCGTACCTTGTCGTACCCCACGGTGTCGAGCTTGCTGACCACAATGGCCATCTGCTCTATCCCCAAGCTACGTGCCAGAGCGGCGTGCTCGCGGGTCTGGCCCCCCGGAGTGCCGTGCAGCCCGCCAGTGCCCTCACTAGGCACCAGGAGTGGGTTTGGGGGGAAGAGGTCGTCAGCAGGGCAACCGGTTGACAGGTCCGTAGTACAGTACATGTTGCAGGCCCGTCAGGTGGTGCCGAAAGTCGGCAGGACCGCAGGTCGACAGGGTGGTGGGGGTTGCAGGTCGTTGGAAGGTCAGGTCGTGTGGGTGAGAGGGAGGGTGGGACGGCGAGGGATGGAGGAGGGGCGTTTGTGTAAATACAGGCGACGTAAAAAAATTGTGAGGAAAGAGACGTGGAAGGGCAGGACGATGCAGCCGTGCTAGAAGAGGACTGCCCACGGTGCCCCATCAACCCCTGTACAAACCCTCACCCCGCCCCCCGGCTCCAACGCACCTGAAGCCCGCTTCGAAGCCTCCAGGTGAGCCATCCACGAGGAGGAGCGCTGCATCAGCCTGGGGGACGGGGGGAGGGAACGGCCGCATGTTGATGCCATGTCATGTACAAGTCAGAAAGAAGCAACTGCTCCGACGTGCAAAGCACCAACTGCTGTGGGAGTCCCCAAGCAGCGACGGGGCACGGAACCAGATGCAAGAAGTGTAATATAAAGATACTTTCGGTGATGGGCGTGATGGTGGTGGTGGTGGTGGTGGTGGCGGCGTCGGTGATGGTGATGATACTGACGTCGGTGGCCATTGTGAGAAAAGAAGCCTTGCGAGGAGCGGAACCCACTGACGTGTGGACTGCTAGTGATGTATGGGTGGGTGGAAGAGGAAACAGCCCGACAATCTTCGACAAATTTGAGTTAGGTACGTGTCTAGCAGATCTACATGCAAACGAACATGCAAAAGCCATAGAAGCAGACGAAAGCATGCACACACATATTCGCGCATTTGCGCGGCTGCACACACAAACGTACCTGTGCAGCTCCCGCAATCATGTTGGGCACAAAGTCACGGTGGCCAGGGGCGTCCAGCAAAGTCACGGAGAACCTGAATCCAGATCCACAAAACCGAAAGCCTCTCCTGTTCGTAATCGGGCTGTAGTGAGTCACATGCGAGCGCGACGGCAGGCGCACGAGCTCTCCTAGTCGAGCTGCAAAACCCAGATCCAATACCCGAATCATGGATCCAGAATCCGCACCTGAGCCAAGTACTGGGCAAGCCGTCTCCGCACTTCCCCGTGTAACACAGTGCGACAGCGGACTGGAGGACGAGGAGGACCCTCGAGCACTGGGCCGTGGCAGGCCCGAGAGAAAACGCTAGGTAACGTACCTAATCCTAATCAGGACCGCTGCGCTGTGTGTTTCATCTCCGCAACTCCGGCGTTATAAGTTGCCAGGGTGGATAGCTCCCCAGCGCACAACTGGTTGCAGCCCTCTACTCAACCGCCACCAGGACATACATATGCGCACACACAAGTGCATGTTTCCCAAACCGCCCCATCCCGTTTCCAGCCGCTCCTTTCCAGAAGCCCGCTACTTCCCTTAGTCCCCTGGCCAGGAGGGTCAGGACGACCGCACACACCTCCTTGTGGTGAATCGCGTCATGGCCACATCCACAGTCACACCGCGCTCCCGCTCCTCCGGCCGCTCGTCCAGCACCCAGGCCCAGGCAAATGAGCCCTGCAGGCAGAGGGGGGTCGCCAAGAGTCCACACGCCCAGCATGCAAGTTGGCCATCAGGACTGGCAGGCCAATCCGTTGCACACACATTTCACCACATATCCCACCAATGCACCATTTTCCCCCCGCATCCATGCGTGGCAAGGTTGCTTATTAAACCCCCTGACTACAGCCGCAACCTTTTCTTTTCCCACCGCATCCTTCCACCAGTGCACTCATCTTCCCCCCACTCACACATCACGGACAGCACGCCGCCGCACCTTGCCCGCTGCCGCGGCGTCTCGCTGGTACTTGTGCGCGTCGCGCGCCGAAACCAGCCCCAGCTCGTGCAATAAGCGGCCCATGAGAGATGACTTGCCCGCGTCAACATGACCCAATACCACTAAATGGAGAGGCGGCCGGGGGCCTGAGGGGGAGGAGGACGAGTCTGCTGCGGTGGGAGCGGCTGCTGCTGCTGCTGCAGCGGCCTCGGCAGCTGCCACGGCTTCAACCTCCCTGCCATGGGTCCCTCATCCGGGGACGAACAAAGCCGAAGGGCGGGGAGGGGCGGGGGAAAGACATGGACAGTCATTACGGGCCAGGTGCAAGAAGGTTCCCACACCAATTTTATGGGACATTATCAATGCCAGTCCTGCCGGGCACGTGGTGGCTGCGGTTAAGGAGAGGATGATTTGCAAGAGGCAAGGATCAACTGCCGACTCCAAACCGCGACTAGGGAGGGAGTGGGGTGGAGCATGGGCATTGGGTTGGTGCATGTGGCAGCCGGAGGACTTGAGGGCCGTAGGAGCAGCGCAGCTAACCAGGCCTACTCCTCGCGAGGGTTTGGGAGGGTAAACATGCAGCACGTGAAACCAGACACCGCACCTGGCCAGGTCGGATTCCATGACATAGTCCTTCACCGGCCGCCGTGTGTGCAATCCGTGGAAGCCGCCCGTCACCCCCACCACCGTTGGTTGCTCCCCCGTGCTGTTGTGACTGCCCACGCCGCCGGCGGCGGCGTGTTCCTGTCCGTTCGCGTGTTGGTTGTGATGATGATGACGGGAGGAGCCGTGTGCGGGCGTGGAAGTGCCTGCGGCCACAATCCGTACAAAAGTTGAGGGGCGGGCCCTCCACTAGTTGGCAAAGGCCCGTACAACCATGCCGGAGCCAAATCGGGTAGGGCAGCAGCACTAGGATGGCGCGGGGGACACGCTTCGACAGCACACGGGACGGACACCGGACACAATGACGCAGGGCACGAGTTCAGGTTCTGCTACAACTGCGCACGTACCAGCTCCCACAGAGGGCCCTAAGCTGAGGGCAGCAACACCGGCGGTTGCTGTCATCATTCCCACGGCCACCTCGCTGTGCTGCTGCTGCTGGCGCTGCTGTTGCATCATCGGACTGGGCCGAAGGAACGTCTTGTTCTGGGAAAGCGACGGCGCGGAGGACGCGGCTGGGGTGGACTGCGGTGGCGGAATGGCTCCTGTGATCAGCGCGCAGGCGGATGGGAACAGGAGGAGTGGAGCTGGTCGCGGTGTAAAAGTAGTTGTGCATGTATGTACATAGGCACGAGGAACCGGGAGACGAGGTCCGGACGGCTGCCGGAGCGCAGGGAGGGGTCACGCCGCGGCAAGGGGACGGGGATGCGGCTAAAAAAGTGCATTCTGTGGGAAGCCCTACAAAGGCAATTACAGTTGTCTTCGCCGCTTAGCGTCATCCCGTACCCTTGCCCCTACGGCTACAGCCCTTCGTACGACCACCATAATGTGAAGAGACGCTCTCTCCTCACCTCCGCGCCGCTCCTGCGCCTCGCGTACTGCATCGTCGGGGGACGGCGTGTCAAACCGGAAAGTCGCCACGACGCCGCTGCCGCTACTGCCGTCCGACGCAGCAGCAGCCGGAGATCCTGGTGCTACTGCCTGCGCCGTCGCCAACTGCTGCTGCTGTTGTGTTTTTGGCGCTAAATGGGGAGCCACGGGAAATGCAGGCTGTTGCAGTGCCTTGGCAACAGGATCGGGTTTGGCTGCAAGGAGTAATATTCCGGGTTGGGCAAGGTCGCCGAGTTAGAGGGTCGATCTGAAAAAGTGCGTGGAAAGAAACACGACACCGTTTGCCGTGTGCATGGGTGTGCATTGAAAAATGTTCTGTGGGAGCGTGGCTCTTATGATGGGAAAAGCAGGCGCAGGGGACGTTTCATGCGCAATTTGCAACCGTGTATGGTTGTCGTACAAGAGAGTACGGCATCGTGCAAGAGGAAAGCGGCAATTGCGCATGCGGCACCACAGCAGTAGCCGGCTGTAGGGGTAGCGAGCAATGGCAGCGGGTAGGAGACGTAAATACGGGGACATCAAGGAAATAAAAGCGCCTCTGTGGCAACAACACAATCCTAAGGCGTCAACGTCATGCAATTCGTAAGGAATAATCGCGATAATGCAATGGGTTTAGTCACGAAGCGAACTCAGGTGCACAACCCCCATGACTGCTTCGGCGTACCCCCCCTCTGAGTCTTGCCGCCCGGGCCCGGCGGCGGCGGATCGCACAGAAACTGCGCCAGCTTGGAGGCACCTGCTGCACGAGCTGGCGCGTGTACCACGGGCGGCGCCTTGACCTGCTGCATCTGCTGCTGCTGGCGGGGTGGGGCACCCCAGCCTGCCGGAGCAGCTGGGGGTGCCTGCGATGCGTCAGCACAACACAAAACCCGGTTGTTGCAGTTGATCGCTGGAAACTGATTTGCCATGGCTATGCGACAGCCAGCTGATTGATGTGATGAGCAGTATTCAAAATATGACATCCCGCTCATGCGTTCACCTGTTTGCTACGGGTTGAAGCAACATGGTCATCGTAGCCGCCGTAGTCATCTTGCTCATAGAAATCATCATCACCGTCGTCGTATCCATCATCAAGGTCATCATCATCGTAGAACTGACCACGTTTCCCTTTCGTCATTGTCACTGCAAACTGCAATAAAGGTACACGTGGCAATCCTTTGGTGGCAAATGATCCGCATTCGAGGTAGATGCTTCTACAATTGGCGAACGGAAACTTTGTTCGCGAGGGTTGTAGCCCCGGTCCGGAAGTGGTTTCAACTGATTGTTTCGTACGATTCCCGGGACCTGTTATGCCGAAGGCCTATGCTGAACGAGATCTCAACTTGAATATCTCTTGCAATTAGGTCTGGCTTTCTCACAGACTAACCGGCGCAGTTAGCCATGTTAGTATGGGCTTTGGGGCGCTGTCCCTAAAGGATTGCCAGCTTGGCAGGAATACCCCATGCTGTCCATGAAGTACCAAGCCCCATGCTTTGTACAAGAACCCATGCTTTGTGCAAGATGATCGCCGACCTTATCTTGCATCAGTGTTTACTCATATACAGCAGCTCCTGGTCGGACAGAGGCGAATTGCAGTAGCTCGGAGGGTAGGGTCCCGTCGCTGGAGTAGATAGGGTAACGGGATGTCCTGGGTAAGCTAGGTATGTTTGTCCAGTGCGTAGTCCAGATCACCAGAGGCGAGGAAGACCCGCCTCAGGTTACGCTGTCGAATACCCAGATTACCCAACCGGATTGGCCACAGAAAGCCAAGAGACACTATCCGGTAAGAAAAGTCATAGTAATGCGCAATCCACATACTATATCCAGATTCGACTGCCGCGTCAAAGCTCACAAAGCTGGAAGGGGCTGTATGTGTGGTGCCTCAGAAAGGAATCCCACGTTATCTGCATTACAGCGCAACTCCGTGCACGCGGTTGGGGGACGGAATCACCGTGCAACACTGCATCTGCTCGCATACGCCTATCTTTAAACAGCAGACAGTTGCAATGCTGGGGGCGTGGGTTCAGTAAGATAGGGCTCTGGGATGCTGGAGGTACCTTGGAGGAATGTATTAAACCCCTCTGGATCTCAGCTTGTGCATCCAGGTCGTGCACTTGATAGCTGCATAAAATTTGTAAGGTTTTACTGGGGTAACCCAGGAGACATTGAGGAAACGGGTTCTTTTGATTTCGGGTACCGCACTTCCCTTTCTGGGCGGGGCCCCAGCGCGAAGCGCCCAGGGGGGCCCCGCCCTGTAGGATTGTCCATGTCCGTGTGGCAGTGTGTGTATGTGTGTGTAACGGACCAAACATAATATCTTGCCCGGCTGAAATGCGGTAATATATTGCATTCTCTATTGCAAGGTATCTCGCCGTAGCCAACAAAAATCGTATGAGCACAAACAAGTTTGGTTGCCTCCATTGACCGAGGCCAAAGTCACATCAACGCCTCTCGGGCTAAATATAACCTCAAAAGGTGCCGCGTATCTCATAATTGAATTCTGAGATGATAGCGTATGATAACTCGAACACCCAGCTCGAACACCCAGCACGGGCATTCCGACTTGCCACCAGCAGGCCGACAAATTTGCTTTCAATTCTCTATGAAATACGCAAGCTGCTCGTTTATACATTTACTTTGGCCAATGCTCGGGGCCTCCAAAGAGTTGCAGTGTGCCGCGATGAAGCTCGCGGCTGTGGGGCGGATTCCTGAAGCCGCTGGCGCTTCGGGGATAAAGATCACAGATAGCACCGGACTTCACCCAGCTTGCGTTACCATTTGCCCGCACGCGCATTCTGACTTGCGGTCTGCCGCACTGTCCGTGCGGCATGCACCCGGGATGGATGCGATTCGCGTGGCGCCCGCAGGCGGTGCTGACGATTCCGCCGGTACAAGCATAGCTCCCACAGCATCTGCACTGCTGCAACAAATACACCTCCCACCACGTTGACACTACCCATCAATTGTCACACGTGCCGCCGTAGCTACCGGCCTGTACGGATGCAGGGGTCCCCGCCCTTTTTCCGGCTTCGAGGAAGCCGACACCCGGCTTATCAAGATACATAACCTTGAGCGCGATGCTGAGAGAACTGAGAATGTAGAACGTCCTTCCGCTCTTTTCCGGTCGATGCGGGGCTGGCGCCGTGCCTTGATTCTCCAGAACCCTTTCTGCAGGACATCTTCATCAAACGGGGCCAAGCGGGCCATGACGCAATGCTGCCTCAAACCGACGCAGCATGCGGTACGGTGTAGCATTGTGTGGAGCACATTGCTCGACATGGCTTTACCCACGGCGGTTGCCCTACCCTGTGGCTACCTCAAACGTAACGGTGTGTATATGGCCAGCGCCAAGATCAAGCACTATGCCATTTGAAACTTTGCCACCTTTCGAGACCTCGCTGTATGTTTGCTCTCGCCGGCTGTGTGCAGCATAGGCTGGCGTAGTGTCTGAGCCTCGCTATGTCCTACGATGATTTGCGATCTAAAAGGGCGCTACTATTGCATAAAAAGATGAAGGATAGAAGCGATAAGCAACTTGGAGTTAGGAATTAGCTTCTTAACTCGCACGAGCCTGGTCAACTGCAGCGCCGCGTTCAGCGCGCCCAAACCTCAAGCAATAAGAGCATATGCCCAGCAACAACATGGGTCATAAAACTAGCTTCCCCTTCGTCAACACAAAGCAAGAGGTTCTCACTATTGCAGGTATCGTAACGAATGGCTGTACATGGGTATATCGTGTCCGGACGGTCGCACGACACCGGCAAAGGAGCTACAAAAAAGCGGGATGCTTCCAGTTAAATTGCTGTTGCCAATCATCGTTTTCACATTTAATATTTGCGTATCAGCTCCACGCTTCATATATTGGTTACTTTGCGATCGCACGCAACTGCCGCACCCAGAACAATGTCTGCCCCACTTGCTGATCAGCTGGACATTGTGATCCCAACCATCAGGTTAGACCTTTGCCGCAAGGCTGTGGCAGTCGTAGGCTTCACACCGGCTGAGTTGCTGGTCATGCAGGAACCTGGACTTCCTTGAGGAATGGCGTCCTTTCTTCCAGCCTTACCACTTGATCATCGTCCAGGATGGTGATCCAACCAAGAAGATTCACGTCCCGGAGGGCTTTGATTATGAGCTCTACAACCGCAATGACATCGAACGCATCCTTGGCGACAAGGCGTGGGCTATTTCGTTCAAGGACTCTGCGTGCCGCTGCTTTGGGTTCATGGTGTCGAAGAAGAAGTACATCTACACCATCGACGACGATTGTTTCGTTGCAAAGGACCCCTCGGGCAAGCCTATCAACGTCCTGGAACAGCACATCGAGAACCTGCTGACGCCCTCGACGCCATTCTTCTTCAACACGTTGTACGACCCCTACCGTGAAGGCGCCGACTTCGTGCGTGGCTATCCCTTCAGCCTCAGGGAGGGCGTGCCTACGGCCACTTCCCACGGCCTATGGCTGAACATCCCTGACTACGATGCCCCCACGCAGGCAAGCGCCATTTTTTTGAGGAGTATGCAGAATGTTCGGACGGGGGGTTAGCGGGAGGGCAACAATGGTTTGAGAGGAATAGCGTAATACCCTCAGCTTTGGTTACAACGGTGTAGGTGCTGCCTACACAGCTTACTTGTCAGTGCATGTCGGCAGAGCGTTAGCGAAATGCCCATTGGAACCCCAATGGATGTGGTTATTTCAAACGAAGCCCTGGTGTGGCTCTGCTTTCCTGTACAGCAGCATTAACAACGTGAAAATCCGCCTTGCAGATGGTGAAGCCGAAGGAGCGTAACCAACGCTTCGTGGATGCCGTTATGACAATTCCCAAGGGCACGCTTTACCCCATGTGCGGCATGAACCTCGCTTTCGACAGGTAAGCTTGGACTGCGACCCAAGTTTTGGCGTCCATGCGGCTGGAGGTTTAGCTCGGCATTCAGAAATCGGATAAGCTAACTGCTAACTGGTTTGCAAATTTTCACATGCAGGGAACTGATTGGTGCAGCCATGTACTTCGGTCTGATGGGCGAGGGCCAACCCATTGGCCGGTACGATGACATGTGGGCTGGCTGGTGCACAAAGGTTATTTGCGACCATCTTGGTATTGGCTGCAAGACGGGCCTACCATATGTCTGGCACAGCAAGGCCAGCAACCCCTTCACGAATCTCCGGAAGGAATACAAGGGCATCTTCTGGCAGGAGGTGCGTTGGGTGGGGCGTGAAAACGTCTTCACAAATGACGACATACGTTGATTTGCGACCACGATGGCCTGTATCTTCTTGTCACCTCTTTGCTGGCTTCTGCACAAAGCAGGTAGAATTTATAACGTTGAATGTGCCACATCCGGTCGCGCAGGAAATTATCCCATTCTTCCAGAACGTGACGCTTAGCAAGACCTCCACGGGTGTGGAGGACCTGTATCTGGAGCTGGCGGATAAGGTTCGCAAGGGCCTTGGACACATTGATCCCTACTTCTCTAAGCTGGCGGACGGCATGGTGGCATGGATCGAGGGCTGGCGCTTGCTCAACCCACCCAAGGCTGCCTAGATTTGTGGGCAGGAGTGTCAGCTGGCTTATTCTGTGGCGGCTTATTCATGTTCGCAGCCATTTGCAGCAGTTGTGATGCGGTGCCGGAGCGTTAATATACACGACCGCTTAGCGGGCTGCACATCCCCACCGCGTGATTACTGCCTAATCGATAGGTTATTTTGCGAGTAACGCGGGTGATGGTGTCGTGTTGGCCTAGTTGCATCTGTGTATGTCTAGCAAAGGACGTGACCTTGAAGCGCGTGACACGACTCACATGTGTACGTTGACCCGCTCGTCTTAGCATTGTCATTAAATCGTAGGCTACAGACACGAAGCTAGTTGGCTTTTGTGAGTTACGTGACGCGAAGTGTCTTTTCATGATAATAGTGCGTACAACGAAAATCTAAACACATATGATCATGGGTGTTCTCACGAATAGACTGAGATTAATGTCTAATATTCTGAAACTGCCATGCGTCCTAGATTCTCTTGTAAGCACAATTGTCATGAAAAGATAGTCTTGAGTCATGTAACTCACAAAAGCCAACTAATTTCGTGAATTAGCCTACGATTTAATGACGATGTTAAGCCGAGCAGGTCAATGCACACATGTGAATCGTGTCACATGCTTGAAGGTTACATCCTTCGCTAGGCATACACAGATGTAACTAGGCCAACACGACACCATAACGAGCAAGGACGTTTGGGCCCAGGATACAGGGTATAAGAGCATTTCAAAATAGTCCTTGCAGCAGCTTGCAAATTTGCTGGCAGGGTTAGCTACACCCCGATCATTAGCAATCACAAGGGTAGGGCCGCAAGGGTTGGGCCGCATTTATGAACATCGTAAACGTTTGGGGCATCGTACGCCATGTGTTGGCAAACCCAAGCTGATTTTGCAACAAGTATGTTCAAACAGCACAGCATCTGCAAAATACGCTTCCACGTCGAATGCTGCAGCACGTTTACGCAGCTGATGTTGAATTTTCTTCGCCTCAAGCCGCAAAGTTGCAACATGACTCCACCATACATCTTCGCACGCTGAACGAATTGGCCCTTCCCCGACGTGCTTCAGAAGTAGCCACCGGCCACACACAGAAGTGGCCACACCACACAACCACAGAAGCGGCCTTAGGACCCAGCCGCGCATGAGTGCCGTCCGGTGGCAAGTTCACAGCGACAGTCTGGTTATGGCCTTTTCACAGGTATCCACTCAAGTGACCCCGGCAAGGCGCGTGCAAGGCATAAAAGTTCGCCTTACCAGGGCTGGTGGGCTAAATATAGCGTGCAGACGTGATTTGTGGAGCATGGCGGGTAAACATCAAAAACCACCAAACAATATCGTATGAGTCACATGTCACAGCCCGACAGCAAACTCAGTCTCAACTGACGGCAACGCTCTGTGCAAAGACGGGAGACAAGCAAACGAGCCATGCACAGTGTCTATACCCGGCAGTCCCCCGCTCACACGCTATCGCCATCCTACAAACACCGGCAAGCCACAAAACGGGCACCTTGCCCCGCCATTTACGGCGGCATGGTGGCTGCACGGCTCCACAGAATGGATTCGAACGTGCGCTAGGGGGAAATGTACTTTGGACTCGGGCCCATAGCCACTCATACAGCCAAAGCACCAGGCAGCGAAGTACGGCATGAATAAGAGCCACCAATGTTTAAAGCGGGCCACCAGTTCATACACAGTCACGGCCAAAAATAAGGCCCTGTGCTGAGTTCTGCCGATAGTCCCGCCGTAACTACTGCTGACCATGCCTCAGCCTGCAAGTCTGAGGATCTCAGAATTGCAAGCTGCCACGCATTCACTTCATCATCGATTTGTCCAACATATCGTACAACACGCACGAAAGGCGCTAGAATCTGAAATTCCTCATCACGGCTAGCAACATGGGCAGGGCGCCCTGTGGGGTGCACTCTGCAGCAACCAACATTGAGCCGGGTGGTCAACTCCCTAGCGACAACAAGCATGGAAGCCCGGTCGCTCAGCCCAATTCGCGGTTCCGGTACAGCGCATTGCCCCATTCCCTAGGTCGCTTGCCAGGGACTGTAATGGCATCCGCCAAGCCTCGGTATCCACAACCCTGCCATGTACAACATCTCTGTACACACCTGCAACACGCCAACCAACCTTGGCGCGCTTATTCTCACAACCTACAAGGACCTGACCCAGTGAAAGCTACGAATGTGCTCTTTGTCGCACGACAGATTCATACTCACTATCACTGCTGCCGGTTGTCTTGGGCCTTATCGGCCAAAAGCGGTCTGCGCCTCATCAGAGCACCACAGCACGCTGAAGTGCCGGCAGCCTCGCAAACAAATCATGCGTGCGAGAAGCAGCAAACTGCGTAGCATGTGGCACAAGTATGTGGTATGGAAGGTGACGAGACGAGAGCATAATTCAGGTCTATTCCCCTCTTTTAGGGGAATGTGCTTCCAAAAATCCTCTCGTCACTTCCCTTCAACCGTTCGTTGCAACCGCTCTTTGCAACGGCCGGACGTCATGTGCTCCCATATCTCGGGGGCGCAGTTCAAGTTTCAAAGGTCAAGAGAAGCGCTCGCCTTAAAGGCAAGCTTATCGAAGCATGCAGTTGACATGCCTCAGAGCCCTACTCCAATGCTTTACGCCGCTATCACACGCCGCCTACGCCCAATCGACCGGCGGCCCCGCGTCTCAGCGGGATCGTACCAGCCGAGCGTGAAGCACAGGGTGGCGGGAGGAATCCATGTGTCCGGAGCGCCCGTTGCCACTGCTCCCGATGGCGCCGGCTGAGCCGACGATGGCCCTGGTTGTTCTGCGGATGCCGAAGTCGCTGCTGGCGGGGACCGGGGCATCGGTCGCGTCCTCTGCCGAGACAAGACCCATCGCGAGACGTGCTGCGCAGATGACGACGCATGCGCCGTTTCGCTCGATGGCGACGCGTGACGCACAGTCGTGCTCCGCTGGGACGACTCGGCCTGTTGACGGGCAACCTCGGCATCCAGTACCTGCTTCCTTTCCTGGACTTCCACACGGCGCCTCTTGACCTCCTCAGGAAAAAAACGCTGAATAGTCTCCCGCAGCCTTAAGCACACGCCTGTTGAGGATAAGTGCAGTGCGCATCGTCAGAAACGCCTAGGCTAAGAGCAGCTTGACATAATTCGCACGACGTACCAAGTTCGCCCGGTATTGGCTCACGGCACAAGGGGCAGGCTACGGTCGTGCTCCTGGCGGACTTGGACGTGGTCCGCCAGCGCCAAAGGCAAAACTGACAGTAATCGTGGCCGCAAGGCCCAACAACCGGGTCCAGGAGCAGGTTCTGGCATATGGCGCACTCATATTCGCTGGGGTCCATGCTTTAGGCCTAGGCCCGGGTTTCGTGAAGTCGCCGGTTTACTTTGGACGCCTTCCGAGGCAACCGGGAGGCGCAAATGCCCAATGAGTCACAAAGGTTGCAAAAATACCATTACTGTCCGTAAGTGCAAGACAATGACCGACGCCATTGGGAGCATGGCAGTTATCAAGCGTACGACGGTAGTCCCTTTTCAACGCCTTCTCGCAAGAAGCTCACTACCTAGCTTCAATTCATTATTACAATAGCACTATAACAACCTCAGGTATTTCGCAGGTCATGCCTTATAAAGACGTTTCTTGCAATCGCTGGCGAAGCACTTCGCCTGATGAGAGGTTTAGACAAGTTCAAATGTTCCTGAATGCAAAAATTGCTTTACTTCAGGATTTGAGCGGATATGGCGTTTTGGGGGCTTGTGGGTGGGCAGAGGTGCTCAATATTTTTCACTTGTTGCACTGGGCCACCACATGCACCGGAAACCGCATTCCATACGTGGGTTGGCCCAGTCAACCAGCCAGTAGAATCCCTGGTCTCGTTCCCAGGGAATGCTTGCGGCGGGCGCTACCCCGACGCCCCGATATGGACAAAAGCTCTTTCTCTGGAAGGACGTGTTTGCCGGTTCTTCGGAGTTGGCGGGGGCTAACGGCTTTGGAGAGGAAAAAACATGGACAGCGGATTTGGCAGGAAGGCGGATGGTACAAAGCTTTACGAAGGAGTTATGCGACAGAGCAGCGTGCCTAGCTACGACAACCAGCTGAGCTGAGCTAGTTGCCGGACGGTTGCGTGATGAAGAAGTCATGTTGGCTCGACTTTTGAATGCGATTGTTACAGTGGACCCCGAACGGGTCGAGTGCAGCGCCCCTAGGAACGCCTCCCGCACAACACTGACTTTTGTCTGTAACGCCGTTAGTCAGCCTGGTCTTCTATGCCGTAAAGGACGAAGGTCGTACTACGTCCCATGCACATAACGCTCTGGGGGAAAGGAAATACATTCAACCACCAGCCAGCAGCTATCCATTTTATTACATGATGGAGCTTTTGAACATAAATATCCAGGACATCTCCCAGCTGTGAAATCGGTCACTTACAAAGCCAAAGACACAAAAGATGGTTCGCACAAATGTGTGTACGAATGGATGAGAATTACGCACGGCAATTGCATTTGAGAACCATGACAGGTATTATGAAAGGGGAATCGCTCACCTCGATCTGCTCCCAACGGTACTGCCCGCGTCAACACAGAGCATAAGCTAGCAGAGGCCCCAGGCGGTACGATAAACCCCCAGATCCCCTTTCAATCTAAATTTGCGGGACTCCACCTGGCCTTGCTATGGTGGTGAAGGACACGTGTCTGACGAGAGGCATGTGGTGTGAAAGTTCTGGGCCCAGCCGTCCGTGGTTCTCTGGATATTTGGTCTGGCTGTGTCCCACTGCCCACCGCACTTATTCCCTCACACTTCCCGAAGCGGAAGTAAATGGATTGCGATGACCTACGTCCCATGTCACCACAAGGTTACAGGCGTCCAACTTTGACCGGAGCCCATTTCCGCGTCCCCAGACACCTCCTGCCACTGACCGCTAATACCTGTTTCAGCCCTGCTACCTCTGATACCCATCTTAACATCCAAATATCCAGAGTTCGCGTGCATGCGCTTACATGCATTCATGCTACTGTGTGGCAGCTCCGGCTCGCGTTACCCCAGGTGTTGGCTGAGGGCTATTTGAGGCTATAATGCTTCTGCTTGTCGACATCTGTAGGCATGTCTCCGTCCAGGAGATGCGATCAAATACGCTGCGGTGCTGTTATACATGGCTTGAGATGGCGCTGAAGGCCTGCGGTGGCAAGACCGTCCCTGCCTTCCGGCCAGAGGTGTTTGTCTGGCATTATAGCACGTGATAGGATAAGCAGGCGCATTCTGTGGGAATGGTCAGTAGTACGTCTCCACGCTCCACCAGCCGTGGCTTGCGTGCTGTGTGCACTAGGTCACACTACATGCACCTCCTCGTGCCTTGCTCTTATTTCCTCGTATCTCATAAAACCAGGCAGGAGAGCATTCACTGACAAGGAGCATGGGTTAACTTGTATCCAACCTTCTTCCTAGTCTCCAAGTTGCAGTTAACTAAAGGCCCCATGTCAGGGTGCACAGGTCATGAGCGTAAAACTGGTTTCGTTTCCGTCTATGCATGCGGCAATACGTCAAGCATGGAAGGACCGTACAGCGCCGTTTCTGCTTGCCAACTGCTGACCGGGCCATCGGGCTGCTGGAGTTGAGCTGTTATCCTGTCAGAGTTATGCACACCTTTTCTTTTACAGCTAAGATAGTTAGCAATATGGGCATAGAGAAGCTTGGCTGCGGTCGCTAGCTCCCTATCCAGATTCTCAGTTTTCCAGTCAAGTCCTTTGTGCATTTCACATGATTTATTTGGCGTAGGTATCCTTTATCCACTTACACGCTAGCAGGTCGCTCTTTCAACATCTAGTCCGACCTCTGCTGCATAAAGCCCAGTAATTCGGACTGATTCTGATGGACCTGCTTCGGACTGAGTTATGCTTTGGTTAATACATTCTTAGCGTTTGTGCTTCAGGGTGAGTTTTGAAACTAGTATTATTGCCAGGTCCCTGTCCTTGACTGCGTACTGTGCATAAATACGTGCCATCGAAGCCCTCGAGCTCGAGCCCTTTAGCCCTGGAATAACGTCTTCGCTCTCAGTCGCGCAATATGCGTCCTAAACTTGCATGGCTCCCCAACGTCCCTTCTGCTGGGCCACCACCGGCGGCGTTACCTCCATTATTGAGTTATGCACAAAGCAATGTTTTGCAGGTGGAACCTTGAACCTGGCTACCGCGGGATATCATAAGGACGCTGGCCCTTAAGCTTGGGTCCGCCGACGGTCCAAACAATACTTTCAATGCAACCAATATGATTGGTCGCACTATTCGGCCAAGGCCCCTGTCTTACACCGAGCGCATTCCGGTGATCTTCTTACACCGTCCCAAGGGCCCCGACGACGACGACAGCCCGCCGATAGACCCGGCCCTCGAACAGTTCCTACGGAACTGCGAAGATGAGCGGGAGCAAAACGGCCTGCTTAGCGGCTTGGAAACAAGCCGGAGACGCCGGGTAGGGCATGTTGACTGTGCCCAGTCCCCTCAGGGAACAGGCTTGCCTATGTCAGCTCTATACTGACTTCAGCTTGTTGGACTGGTAGCAACTCTTTTAAAGCAGGATTTCCACTGTCGGTCAAATTGTTGCCTGGGTACGCTTTTCGTTGAAGAGCAGCAAGCCCCGGTGGGGTCCGTCTCTCTCGCCCCTTAAGTGCCCCTCGTGCTGCGTCTGGCAGTTGATCGCCTGGCACTTGGTCCTAAACCATATACTTCTACCTGCTCGTAGAAAAATCGACACCACCGGGCGGCACAGCAGCAGCAAACGCAACAACACCAGATACCACAACAGCAGACCCAGACTCAACAGCCGGCTGTGCTAGGTACGGGCGACGGAGCTGCAGATGCCTCTGCCATTGCCGTCCCAACCTGGCGGGAGATTTCCAACTATGCCAGCAACGAGGAGGCTATGGCGCGCGCGGACTCACGGAAGACGGCTGAGGCAGGACCCAGCGTGCCGCCGCTGCTGGCCGGGATTTTGCCAGATGTGTCACCTTGCCTGACGACGCAGAGTGGTCTGGGTTTGGACGCCGCCGCATACATCATATACCAGGATCTTGTTCGGGACCGGCAAGCGGAACCGGCGCTGCTGCAGTATGACATGGATGACGTGGACGAGAAGGCGCTGACGGCGATAAACGCACCGCGGGTGCGTACGCTTGCGGCGGCAATACTGAAGGGGGGACGCATGTGATGAGCGCATGAATGCAACAAGGACTAATATGACGGGGGCGGGCGGACGAACTAGGTTGTGGAGTTGGTGGGTGAGGGACTGGATGCGTGGGGACCCGTACTTTCCAATTCTGGCCTAAGGGACCCTAACGTCCTCCAAAGGTTTAAGGTGATGCTTCAGTTGCACATCATTCCAAGACTGGTTTTGGAGCGGACTGGCTTAAGGAGTTTTCAGGGCTTTGCGGCAAAAGCAAGAGGTATCGCGCCCGGATCATGCTGGTCTTTGGATCGCTCGCCGCTGGCATGTCCCCATCGTCTTGCCCGCTGATCCGTATTGCTGCCCTCCGCCGGACCCCACCCGCGCAGCCACCTCTTCCCAAGCCAGGGCACACTGGCGCTTCCAGGACACCGCCGGCGACACGCGCCGCTGCGGCGGCAGCCGCGGCAGCTGCAGCAGCGATTCTTAACGAGGATGGCTTTGAGGCTCTTATGGGCGCTCTGGAAAGGGCCCACTTCGAAGTGCTACAGCAGCGGCGGGAGCTCTGGCAGGCGGATGGTGGGTGGGTGGGTTGGATTAGCTGCGGGAGAAGCGAAGGGGTGAGGGTGTTCCATATGTGGGTCAGGAGCAGGAGGAGAGGAGACTGCGTGGGTCATGCCTAATGTGGATCTTGAGTGGCAAGAGATGCGGGATGGGGACCTGGTGGGTCAGCAACAGGACGGGCAGGGTATTTCAGGACACGTGCAAAGTGATTCCCCGGAGGTGGCTCTGTTTTCCACCTCAAACCCGCTCGTTGGGGTCGTTCGGGTTCTTTGTGGGAAATTTTAAGGAATTTGTCGGACTTCCGAAAGCAGGCCGACAGCACACGCTTTGGGTTTGGTACTGTTGCCATCCTGGGTCGTAGTCTGCATGTGTCCTACTTGATGTGGGCACACGTAAACACGAGATGTGATGCGACTGAATGCCTCTCCCCCTGTCTGTCACATTCGCTTTCACCCTCTCCTCCCTTCCCCGCGCTGCTCCTCTCATCTCGTCCGGCACATGGCATCATCCCACACGCATCCATCCACCCATCCACACGTGCAGTGAAAGCGGGCAAGGTGCCCAAGCTGCCGGCTACGGAGAAGGTCCTGTCTTGGGAGGCCGCGGTGGCGGCACTGAAGCAGCACCAGCCGCCGCTGCCGCAACTGCCGCGCGCGCTGTATAACCACTGGCTCAAGCGACGGAAGCAGGTGAGCCCCGCGGGAGCGCTTTGGTTGGTAGGGCTGATCAAGGACCATACAGCTCGGGCGACGGGAGCCACCTTGCACGGTAGCGGAGGGTGGAGCACTGAGCGGTCTCACATCAGTGTATTGATGCGCTGACACGCACACTGCTGCTTGGACTTGTGTAGGGGCAGACGACCGAGTCTGGGGCAAACGTGCGGGGTCCCTCTGGGATTGCGGGGACGATCGTTGTGTTGGCCGGGCGACGGTAATGGTACACGCAACTCGGGGCATTAAATGGGGAATGACGCATACGAGTTTGCCGAGGTGGTGTCGGGCTCGATTTCGGGAGCGGAAATCTTTACGCTTGGTGCTATTGCGCTGTTGGGTGTCTAGGATGAGCTAGTCCAGAGACACCAGCGAGCATGAGCGCACCAAAGCAAAGACACACCATGACACGGCTTGTGGTAGACCACTCTGTGCCTTCATCAGCCATTGCCGTTATTTTACCCCCTCGTCGTCTTGCCCTCACCCAACTCCCATGAATGCCTGTTCGACGTTCCAGGAGGGCGGGCCCCTGCTGGAGTACCTGTGGTACGAGCAGCCTTGGAAGGTGTGCAGCGGATTTGTTTGGTCCACGTTTTGATGGGCATTGCTCGTAGCAGCGCTCGTTTATGCCGCACACAAGCCTCCTCTTTGATCGTTGCTTTCCCAGGCTGGACTTTCCAAACGCCTAACCCATTGGGATGGAAGCTCAATGTGTGCTGGCTGCTAGGTCTGCCTGCGTAGAAGGAATATTGCCTTGCGTGAAAACGAAGCGCAAGTAATATGATATGCAAGGAATGTAAGAAAGTGTGACATCAAGTGGTCCGTCTATGCCGCTTCTTTCCCTGCTTACAACAATTGCCTTCCTTTCATGGTTCTCTCCACCTTTCTTTCACACCACATCACACTCAGGCGATCTGCTTCCAGGACCGTGAGCATGAGGGCGAGCAAGGCGACATGCCTTTTATGGCCACGGAGACGAAAAATAGCGCACGAGGTGGCTGGAATCGGATCCGGATTGACAAACGGGAGGCATATGAGCGGCTGATGGAGGTTCGAAATGAGTTTGAGGTAGGTAGATTGGTCTGACAAGCGTGATAGTGGAGAATGGCTGCAGGGAATGGCTTCGGGTGTGGATGTATACGGGGATTTGCAGTTGTAAGGAGCTGAACCCTGCGCAGGTCTGTCCTTGCTAGATGGATGGATGGATGGATGAAAAGGAAGGTGTGGGTGGCTGGGATTGGGGGCCCATGCCTGGTTTGGGCATGGGCAGCCTGCCTTTTACCTCTGCGATTTCCTATCTTTACCCCTGGCCCTCACATCGTCCTCTGCCTCCAGTTACTGCGCACGACGGCGGACCAGGTTAGGAAACGAGAGCGGCTCAAGAAGCAGCTGCTGAAGCTGTATCGGGCGGAAATGGCGGCCAAGGTGGGTGGACGGATTATGTATGATGGAAAGGGGAGAGCGCGTGCATGAACTCATTCCCAAGTGGCTTCGTCTCAAATTCCAACGGGCTGGGAAGCGGGTAGGTAGCAGATGTATGAGTGGAGTCCTAGCGGGATACTTAGGACGAGGCTGCGGCGTCATTGTTAGGGGCCTCACGTTTGCGGTTGTGATGTGCCTGTACACCGTTATCATCGGAAGTCTTGAACTGGGCGCTGTATTGTGGCTTGCCGTTGGACTTCCCATTAGTCAGTTTCCCATCTGGACTCTCCAAAGTACACACACGCCGCGGCTGCTGCTGCTGCTGCTGCTGCTGCCACTGCTGCTGACTGGCCCTCTTCTCGTCCCGCGTGTGCTATACAGCTGGGTTTGAACCTTCACCACAGCAAGCATGCCACCGCCGCAGCACCGGCATCAGCGACTGGGGCGGCAGGGACGCAGTGTGCCGGATCCGCGCAGATCCCGGCAGGTCCCAACAGCGCAGTTGCCAGGGCAGGCACCGGCAACGGAGCGGTGGGTGCTGACGGCGCAGTTACGGCCCGTGGGCCCCGTTCAGCCGCAGTAAAGGCTCCGGCTGCAGCAGCGGTTCCAGCTCGGGATCGTTCCGCAGGTGAGCCGCCGCCCAACAAACGTCGCCGGGTTGCTGCCGAAGCAGACGTGCTGACAGGGACTGCGGCGGCATCAGCAGCAGCCGCGGCGGCCCCGGAGCGAAAAGAGTCCAAGAAAGCAGCAGGTGCAGTCCTGGCGCCGGCCAAGGAGATCGAGCCGAGGAGATTGCGATCGGCAGCCGCGCAGCCGCGGCTGCCCGCGGTGGGAGCTCCTGTACGGGGTACACAGGCGGGAAGGGAGGCGGATGATGGGGGGAAGAAGGCTGGCCGTCCACCGCCGCCGCTGCCCTCGCCATCGTCCACCTCATCCTCCGCATTCGCCTCGGGCTCTTCCAGTTCGGATGGCGAATCCGATGGTGGTAGCACCTCAGATTCTGATAAGTCCAAAGAGTTTATGGGCGTCACGGCGGCAGGGCGGGGCAGAAAGCCTCCAGCTGCTGTGGGAACGGGTGTCCGTGGGAGGGCGCGAACTAGAGCAGCAGAGCGGTCTCAGTTAGCTGAGGAGCGCAAAGCACCACCGGCGGCGCGTGCTGCCACTCATGGTGGCGCAGGGAGCGGTGACTCATCCTCCAGTGGGGGTACATCTTCCTCCTCCACAGCGGATGACGAGGAAAGGGAGGAGGGGGGGAAAAGTGACGACCATGGAAAGGTGTCCTCGTTATCACCATCGACATCGTCGCCGTCGCCGCAACGGCAGTCTTCCTCAGCATCGTCGTTCCTTTCCGAAGAAGGCAGTGAGGCAGAGGTGGAGGACTCCGGGTCGCCGGACGCGTCGTCAGGAAGCAGTAGCAGCGACGATGAGAGTGACGCTCAGAGCCAGGGTGAGAGCAAGGAGGCAGAGGCGGAATTACCCCCCACGTCATCGGATGGAACGGACAGCGACGACGAGGAGGAGGAGATTGGAGAAGGGGAGGAGGAACATGAAAAAATGGCTGGCGGAGGTGAGTTTCACAACGACGATTGAGTCTATTCACCAAGTTGAAATATGTGACGCTCTTGCGTCGCCCGGTCGCATCCAGGTCCTCTTGGCGGTGTGCCTGCTTGGTTAAGATGCCGTGCGATACCGTAGATTGTTCCTCATGTAATGTGCCGCGTCCGATTCCCATCTGGCTGCCGATCTAACGGACTGCCAACCGCGCCATCCTGCATACCTGGTCCTGGCTGCAGGTGGCGGTCGTGGCCGGCAAGTCAGAGGGCGCAGCCGACTGTGGGGCACCGGGCACGGAAAGGCGGCCCGGCGTGGTGCCGGCGGCGCCTCCGGCTCCTCGGACGGCGACAAGGAGGAACGGGGAGAAGAAAAGGATGGCGTTGCGCGCTCTGGGAACGGCAACAGCCAAAGGGCCCGACGCGGCGAAGGCGTCAGAGCGAAGGGTGGCGTGAGGAGGGCGCGTAGCGCATGGGTGGGTCGAGCTCAGCAACAACAGCAGCGACCTAGGGGCCCAGTGCGAGAGCGCTCTTGTCCAGCTTCCCAGCCGATTGGAAGAGTGGAAATGGAAGCGGCGGCCGCCTCTTCCCCACGCTCTGTCAGCTTATCCCCCGTGCAATCGTCGCCCAAGACGCACTCGTCCTCACCAACCCGTTCCAGCCGCAGTCGGCCAGAGAACTCGCCGGCCTCGTCGTCGTCACCGGAGCCATCACGTTCCACGTCGCGGTCGCCGCCACTACGGCAGGGCCGCAGTATTTTTGCAGAGTCTGCTGGCACGGTTGGAGGCTGCGGTACCAAGCGTCGCGGTGCGCTATCACAAGAAGCACGTCGTCGTCCGTTGCCTGCTGGGATAATACACAACAGCCGCCACGCGGTGCGGCAGAAGGCGCGGATTCCGGTCAAGCTGGCGAATGGTGGGGCCCCTGGTGGCGGCGCTACCGCTGCTGCTGGAATTCCCATGCCGCCCCGTCCGAATCGGGAATTGGTGGCCTTACTTAAGATGCAGCGCGGTGGCGACAGTCTTGCAGCTGGTGGCGGCGCTACCGCTGCTGCTGGAATTCCTAAGCCGCCCCGTCCGAATCGGGAATTGGTGGCCTTACTTAAGATGCAGCGCGGTGGCGATAGTCTTGGTATTGCTGCGTTTGGCGGCCGTGCCAACCCGGGTGCGGTCGTGGAGAAGTCGAATCGAGACGACGCATCGGGATCCCGAGCTGTGCCGCGGACGGAACACAAAATTAGTATCGGCGAACATGTTGCCGCACCGATGGCCGCTGCAGTGGCGGGACAGCGTACCGAAAACGCGGTACGCAAACCCCTTAACAACTGGAGCGCCGCTGGATCTGTCCCGTCGCCCCGGTCACCACTAGCTGGCTCCAAGCGGCCGATTGAGGTGGCCAACGGCACCGCGGCTGGTACAGCGAATGCAAGCGCGAACGGGTGCTCGCCCAGCTCTAGCCACAAGAAGACCAGGGTCGGCTGGCGCAAGGAGCTGGCTGCCCTGCTGGGCAAGCCCTTGGCCGCCACGTCGCGGTTCCTGCTGCAGCGAAAGCAGGTCCAACCACCACGTGCGGTGGCAGTAACGGCTGCGGACCCTGTAAAGGCAAGCGGTGGTGGCGGCGACGCGGCCCGCGGGTCTGCCCAGCGGATTTCCATGCTCCGGGAGCGGAACGGAACAGTGATTTGTTGAGACATTGGCCGCCGCTGGCGCTTGCGTTGGGCTCAACAGCCGAACGCGTGCCTGGTATTGATATGATGGCTTTTCGCATTGCCTAACCCATAAGCATATATGGCTGCCACGGCTGCGGCGCCTGGCAGCGCCTTGGCCGTCCTCGGGAGGATTGCGTTTGAAGAATGCAGTGTGCAGCGTGCGCCGAGCTGCCGGCTAACCAATTTTCAATTAACATGGTTGGACATACTTGACGCCGAGCGGTGTACGAGCCGTAGCTTGTCGAACCCTTTTCAGGCAGTTGTTCAGGCTGCGAAGTGGCCGTGCCTCTTCTAGGGCCACTACGCCAGCTCTTTTACCTTAAACCCTTTCTGTATGTGACATGGCGTCGCCCTCGGATGTTCAGCGAAGCACTAAGGCATAGGCATGTACCCCAGCATTCGTAAGCACTGCCGTCCTGGCAGCAGCTGCATTGTGCCGATGTTCTAGTCCATGAAGCCAAGAGACTCCTGCCATCACGTGTGGAAGCATTTAGCGCTTATGTAGAAGGCTACGTACGGGCTTGGACTTCAGGGCGTTTAATTGATGTATGGGGTAGGCTAAGCACAGGGCCCGCAAACCCTGTTTCAGGCGGGACACTGTCTTGGCGTGGGCCGGGTAGGCTGGCTGTCTGCGGTGGGTGTGGAAGGCGGTGGGACGGTGGAGGAACTGCGGGCTGGACGCACGCACAGCCGTGACACTGGTATGAAGTAACCTGAGGCATATCATAAGGGCAATATGCTGATGCACGCGACTGGCCTTGGAGGCGCTTTAGGGTCCAGTTCGGCGCTTTGCCTGGGGCGTAATATGGGCCTGCTGCTGAGCAACTGCTGTCGCCGACCCATTTTCGCGCTCAGGCCGTACGGCGTTATGTCAATCGTTCCGCGGCTCGCCGGACGACGTCCTTAGGGTCCATCCTGGAGCTGCTGACGGGATGCGGTGGCGGAGCCGCTGCAGTGCCGGTGTAGCTGCCATCAGGAAAGGCAGCAGCGGCAGCAGCAGCAGGCCTGATAGAAGTTGGGGTGGGGTGGAGTGTGTCCTGTGCCTGGACGTGTTCACCACACCTGTGTTGGGAGTGCAGCTGGACCTCTGATCACATTCTCAGATTAACACAAGATAATGGCTGTACCATACTTCGTTCAGTCTCCGTCCGAGACGCACCTCTTGCATACTCGCTGACAATGACAAAGGCCAGAGCGCTGCACTCGTGCTGGCGTATGTGTGCAAATAAGAGGTCATGTAGGCTGCCTTGAAGGACCTTAATTTTTTCCCACCTGACCAGGTGTGTGCCGGTGTTCGCCCTAACCAATTGGGATGCTGGCCAGGTGGCCATGGTGTCCGGATCAGTGTAAATACGAAGGTAAGGGTATTCTGTCCGCTGTAAGGCCAAAAGATCATGTCATCTTTTACCTCTACTCCAGTTGGGGAGGACCCTACCAAGTAACTCCACACCAAGTAGCTCCTCCACACGATCTCCGCCGCAGGTTTAGGTCAAGAAATTGTCGTTGCCAAGACGCAGCACCCACCCGTGCAATAGATACGAGAGGGTTGGGCACATTGCCACCAACATCAACTGTACAAATCTAGCCTCGGTACTTCAACCTTAAGATTTTAGATCTCAGCAGCTTTTTCGCCATTGCCTCATGCTGCCCAAAAATGTTTTTATCTCCAATGGAATCAACCCCCTCCTCGAAGCGGCTCAGGAGGGTTGGTGCCCGTCTGTCTGCATCCGTCTCTACCTACCTGCCAGCGTATATCAGCAAAACGTAGTACGCCACACCGGATTCTAATTGTTAAGAATTGCTTTATTAAAAGCCTTAACATAGAACGATTAAGTTTTCAAGGCAGGCCGGTTGGTAGTCGTACGGCTCAACCCAGCTCGGTCGCCTATCGCAGCAAACACGCAACCTGAAGTTTAGCGCCGACTCGGCAAGCATTCTTCGAATGGCCATGCGAAATGTAAACACGTTCAGTTTGCCTGGGGCTTCGCGCCGCATGGCCACATCAACGGCTTCCCCGCTTCTATCCAACCCCTTATGCCTCCTTCAACAGACGGAGCCCCGACACAGCAACGGGCGCCGTACACACCGGAATCGGGAGTCCCGTGTGCATATTCCTGCCAGCGCCCTACCAGCAGCCGCTCAACATGCATTACTACAACTTCCGCCGACATGCGTTGCCTGAATCCATCGCATAGCTTTCTGTTCCTTCCTTTAATATCTCCTTATTACCGCTATGCAGGAACTGGTGCCCCGACCGTGTGCATCGGCCAGCGGGTTACCGTCCCAGCACTGATCGCAACCGTTCAGATGGGGACCGTCGCGCCAGCATCCTGGGGCGTGAGCATATGCAACTGGGCTATTACCAACCATGTCGCGTATTACCGCCGTCCAACCGTCGTCAGTCACGCGCAGTCACGTTGCAGCGCGTGGCCCTGGGGTTACTGGGTGCAACTGCCTGCGCCCCGTGCGGCCAGCACTGAAGGGGAAAACATGCTTGCTGGAGCCTCGCGAAGCCGAGCCGTGCAGCGCCCCGCGTCGCAGCGGCCAGCACCCACACTTGTGCAGAACCAAATTTCATCTCACCTCCACGAACCCGCCCGCGCGGCTCCCTCCTCAGGCAGGAGGATAAACCTAATCGGCAGCAGTCCCCCTCAGTCCCCAGTCCCAGCACCGTAGGACGTCTCGCTCCACCCGCACCTGCTTCTACCATACTACAAGTATATGGCACTCCTGCATCCCTGAATCCTTACCTATTGCCGTACGGCTGTACACGCTCCCTGCGGCTCTACCCTCAACACAACACATTGGAGCATGGGCTCCCCGAACATGACCTCAAACCGACGGCCTCACATGCGCCCACAATTTCCGCTCGCATCTCCCGCAAGTCATCCTCAGAAGCCGGTCGGCCCTCCGTCACCAGCCTCGTCAGAACCGCCAGAAGCCGGGGCGACGGAAGTAACCCCGACGGGCCCAGCAACACCTCGACGGCGCCGTATTCCAGCAACGGTGGTGTAGATGCTGCCGTCGCTGCTGACCTCGTACGATGCTCAGGGAAGGAAGTTGCCTGCACTTCCTTCCTGTCGGGTTGTACGGCAGGTCTGGCCCGGAAGGCCTCTCGCGTCTCATACGTCAGTGCGCGGGTCAGGTTCATTAGCACCCATTGGACCTGCGCCGCGGCATACAGCTCCCAAGGGGGCGCTCTCACCGCTACAGGCAGCGACTGCTGAACGTTAGCTGCCGCGCTGCTGCCCGTGCCTTCCGAAGCTGATGCAGCCGGTGTTCCATGCCGGTGCTCCTGGAGTGGGTTCTCGCGCTTGGCCTTGGTGTTTGTCGCCGGCGCCGCTGCCTCTACAGCTGCCTGGCTCTGCTCCAGGCCTTGCAAACCCTGCACTTCTTCCTCACATCCCCTTTTCCTCCCTTCTGCCGCATCCAATACTACACCCATCCTCGCCTCTGCCTCCGCCTTTGGCGTTGCTTCCGCCTCCACCGCCCCTGACTCCGCTGTCGTATCCGCCAGGCTCTTCGGCTCTGCATCCACCTCCATCTCCGCGCCCTGCGAGGCCCCCTCCCTCTTTGCTCCCGGCAACCTGCCCACACCAGCCCCAACCCCTGGCCCTTGCTCCCGGCCAATCACTGAAGCCCTATCCTCATAGACACCTCCACCCACGTGCGCCTGCTCCGAAACACGTGACATGTGCCGGAGGCTTAACCGCCGTATCAGCAGGCCCAGCAGCGACAGGAGATCGGCCTTCATGGCCTGAAGATGCCGTACACCTTCCCGCCCAGATGCATGCGGTGAGCCAAACGGAAGGTTTGGGAGGGAAGGTTTGCGGGAGGATCCTTCGTGCTGCCGTACTGGCGTGCCGCTGCTATCCATTGATCGGAGGAGCTCAGCGCATGCCGCCGGGGCCCCCTCGCCCTCGTGGACATGGACTGCCGCCACCGTGTCTGTCGTGTAAGTCGACGCATTCGTCACTGGCGCTGGTGATGCTGATGCGGCAGCGTGGGCCACTGTGCCGGCAGGTGCCCTTGCGGTTGTGGCGGCAGCAGCAGATACCGGCTGCGGGGCAGCAGCAGCAACAGCGGCGGTGGTCGCAGCCGCATTCCAGCTCTCGCCCACATCGGGCGGGATGTACCGCAGCCATCCCACGGCTGTCGTAGCCGCCGTGAAGAACAATTCGTCAGGCGCCCAGCCAACGCTCGGCACCGTCGCCTCCGCCTCCGCCAACTCCGATGCGCTGTCTCCGCCTTCGCCCCGGCAGCGCTCCTCAACGGCTACAGCCGCACGCATCAACGAGCCACTACTGCCGGCACTGCAGCCCCTGCCGAGTTCTGCGTCACCGCGATGCCAATCACCACCCTCGCTCCCCGCCGCCGCCGTCGCCGCCGCTGGCATCACCATCGCCCTGCCGGCTGTGACATCACCATCATCATCGTACGGCAATAGGCGTACAGCTTGCAAAAAGACCGGCAGTAATTCCCTCAAGATATGGCTGACCGCCTCGAACAATTGAACCTGCGCGACCCTCCTCGGGTGAGGCTTTGCAGCAGCGGTGGGAACAGGGACCGCCGGGACTACATTGTGTGCTCCGGGGCCGTCCTCCGTCGTCGGGACACCAGGGCAGCTGGTCAGGTGCACATTGGCGTCGGCGGCGTCAGTACGGATACCGACGGCTCCGCCAGTGACGTCAGCACTGGTGCAGGCGGACCCCCTGTTGGTGGTCATAACACCGCTTTCCGCCGGCATGTTAATGCTGTTGCCGCCGCAGTACGTCTCCTCTGTACGACAGCTTTCTCCGCACACTGCATTTGTGTTGACAGCATTCGGTCCTTGTCTCTGCCCTAGCTCGTGCCCATGCCCTTGCTGCTGTTGATGCTGCTGCCAGGGCTGCTGCTGCTGAAGGAATGATCGCGGCTGCAGTCTATGGCCATCTCCAGCACGTCCGCCAATGCCACCCTGCAACGACGACACGCGGGTGCGGGCCTCTTGCCCCTCCTCCGCCTCCGCCTGCTCCTCCCGCGCCATGCGCGACGTCTCGTCACCATCCGACCTCGAACCCGCCTCTGGCCCTCTGCCCTCCGCTGCCACCAAATGCGCACGCCAATGCAACGTAGGGCCCACGAGACGTGACGCCACCGCCACCGCAGCCGCCAAACGCTGCTCCTCCCACGTCTGCTGCCGCCGTGCGCCGCCAGCGCGTCCTCCACCCCCCTCTCCGCCTCTCCGCCCGCTTTGCTTCCTGCCCTGCGTTGTGGATACCCCCCCCTCCCGGCAGGCCTCCGGTGGCTCTTCCCTGCTGCGGTTACAACACGATGATAACTCGCTGACGTCGGTGCTTCCGTTACCGTTACCATTACCGTTACCGCAGCTGCCATTTGCTCCAGCTACGCCACCGCCACAACAATCCAGGAGCGGCACCGCCGCCGCTGCCGCCGCCGCTACGTCACTAGTTGCTGCGGAAAGGCCACCCATGCTCCGGAGCAGCAGCATTCGCACCACCTCCACCAGCTCGGTAACATCCCGTGGGTCGGTTGCATACGCCATGACCTGAGTCCACGTTTGGGACCATGCTCGTTGCCTGGGAACGACGCCACTACCATTACCACCACTACCACCGTCGCTACCACAGGCGGCCACATCGGCCCACTTCTGAGTCAGAGGCAGCATGCGCCACAGCGAAACAGAATTAGATGCTGCGGCAGGGCAGGCGCCAGCGGCGGCGGCGGGAGTGGGACCAGCGCCGGGTGCGGCTGCTCGCGCTGCATCACCGCCAATATGCGCAGCCGCGGCAGCGTCGGTACCGGCGGCGACGAAGACTTCCGTATCTAATCGAGGCATCTGCGGTAGCGGCGGTTCCGCCACCACCACCGTCAGCAGCATACGCCGTACGGCACGCAGCCAGTTTGCACTCAGTGCTGCGGCGACGTCAAGGCTAGGACTGCAAGGCAGGCTGCAGTGCTCAGCTGGCCGGGGGTTCACGCCATCGGGGCTTTGGCCCGCAACAGCAACGGTAGCCGCAGCAGGAGCCTCCCAAGTTCCGTCCTCCACTCCACCGCGGCACCTATCTGCCGCCGGTCTGGCTTCTGCCGTTGCTACCGCACATCCCGCCGGCAGCCGGTGGGGTGGGGGAAAGGGCAGGTGGCACGACAGGGAAAGGAGGGCGGAAGGACGGCAAAGAGCAAGCGAGTACAGTTGCATGCGCACATGTCGTCTACCAGTTAGAGCGGGTGCACACGGGAAGGTGGTGTGAGTGTGACGATGTTGATCATGAAGCGGCCAAATGTGAGCTGGAGCCGTCCGGGGTGGGCAGCGTTAGCACTGCGGGTCCCGGCTCGTCCCAGATTACGACAGTAATAGCAGCAATGGAGCTGGTGCCTAGCCGGCCGTACGCCCTCACCAGCCTCCTGTCTTCATCTCCCAGACGCTCACCGGGTAACCCGCTGGCCGCACCGCCACCGCCACAACCAGATGCAGCACCGCCACCGCCAGCACCAGATGCGCCACCGCCGCCGCCGCCACCGGCGCTACCGCCGTCAGCACCAGACGCATCTCCGTCGCCACAGTTGATGTCCAACAGACTCGAGGTTACCATCCCTACGACCTCCTGTGCGGCCGCAACCCCCGCCCCCTCCACAAATCCGCCACTCCTCATTCCGGCGGCGCAGCCTGGGTGTCCGGCAGCCGCTGATGTTACCCGGCGGAGCGCCTCCCCCCGCGCCGCGCCCTCGACTACAAGCTCCGCAGCCTGCAGAAGCAGCCCCCACCACTCCCGCAGACGCCGCATCGTGCCCAGCGGTGGGGGCGGCGGCGTCCGGCTAGGCCCGCGGCCGTCGCCCAGATGGCTCGGATCACCCGCCCCGGCTGCTGACCCGGCCGGCCCCGCCAGTGCCGCCGCTGAGCCCTCTGCTGGCTCGTGTACTTGCCGAGGCAGCCCCTGCTGCGCATACGGCTTAGTGCGGTGATACGCCTCATGGACCCACAGTGCAATCCTAAGGACAGCACGTGCGCAGCGCAAGCTGGATGCCACCACCAGTGGGGCCTCCGCAGCTGATAAGACCGCTTGCGGCGGCGTCAGCGGTGGCGGCTGCTGCCCGGCCGCTGCGGCTGCCGCCTCTGCTGGCGCCGCATCCCCCGTCGCGGCGGCAGTGATGGTCGTGTCCGCCAAGGGTGCCCTCGGCAGTGAGGATGGCTGCCCCGGGGCATCGGGACTGGGAACTGTTCCGACTGAACCCACGTCCTGACGCTGTCCCGACGCAATGGCGCCTGTGGCAGCGGCGCCCTGGGGTTCCGAAACCGGCGCCTGAGGCGGTGCAGGAATGGCGGTGGCGGCGGCAGCCAGTGTCGCCACTGGGCCCTGCGAATGGGACAGATCCGCGGGTCGGCACCCCGCGCGCCAGGAAGCCAGGGCCGCGCGGCAGAGGCGCATGCACAGCGCATGCGTGGGCTTGTAGGCGAAGGGCGGCACGTACATCCACAGAACGGATTGGATCAAGGCCCGCTGCTTCTCCCAGTCTGCCACGCTCTTTTCGATTTCGGGCTCCCTTGCGGCCAGGTTCTCCCAGGCTCGATCAAGTGAAGCTTCCATCTTGTCAAGCTTGTAGCCGTAAGGCGGCTTCGGCGGCGAGGCGGCGCCAAACCTCATTTCCACCAGTCGAATGCGCGACTCTGAGATCTGCATTCGCATGGCGGCAAGGTCTCGCCAAACGTCCTTGTGGCACTTGCCCTGCTCGCCCAGCGCCCGAGCAACCTCCAAGCTCGGTGCCAAGAGCTTTGCCCTTATGTCCGCGGGCCCCTTAGGTTCCTGGAGAAAGACTGCGTCGCCTGCACCGCTACCACCGCCACTGACTGCTCCGCCGCCGTTGATCGCAGCCAGCTGGGACGCAGTGGCCCTTAGGGCCGAGAACCCAAATAGTTGAGCTGAGCCCGCTGGCTCCGCGGCCAAGTCTCCGGCAACCGCAGGGTGCGACGACGCGTGTGCGTTCCAGACGGCGAGGGCGGCGAGGGCCAGTTGCGCGGATAGGACTTCTGGAGGCTTCTCGGCTTCCGGAGGTTCACCGCTGCCGGAGTGCTGGGAGTGGCTTTGCGGGGGTGGAGGAGTCCCCGGCGGACAGGCTTGCTGAGCCCCCGCGCTGAGTCGGATTTCGGTGTGTGCTAATGGCTCTAATGGCCTTGGGTCCCCTTTGTTCGAGTGAAGCTTGGCACAACGCCCCTTCGGGTCGCTGTCATTTGGGTCGCCAACCGCCTGGGTGTCCTGGTGGATTTGACAGGTAGTGTGGGCCGGGCTGCCGCCCTTCTTACGGTTCCGGTCCCGCTTCGAACTGCGAGCGATTTGGGTCAGGGCCAGGGCAGTGGTTTCTGCCGGCTGCTCCTTTCCCGCCTCAAGACCACCCTGGACATGCTCAGAGGCCGTGGCCTGGTTTTGACACGCCGGAGGGGTGCCCCAACAACTGACGTGCCGGCTGGGTTTGCCGTCGGGTCCGAACAGAGGCAGCACGCTCGCTGCGGTGCCGGATGCCGGCGCCCAGCTCCACGCCGCCGCGACGGCGGCACTGTGCGGCGGCGTCGCTTCCCCCAGTAACGGCGGCAACCCGTACGATTGGCGCTTGCCGTCCAGCGCCGTGCAGAGCAGCACGACGTTGCTGCAGAGCAGGTAGTTCATACAGGGTTTAGGGGAGAGGCCCAGCCAACTGCTGCGGTGCGCGGGTATGGCGCTTTGCTGTTGTTGTCCCTGCTGATCCTGGTGACCTCGTTGCAAATGTTGTTTTCGGTGCTCAAACTTGCGCGACGGAACGCGGGTTGCCGCTTCGTAAAGAACCCCCAAAGCACGTCCAAACTGCAGCATCTGGGTCGCGAGCCGCGGACGAGCCTCCTGAAAGTGCGAAAGTTGCTGCACCAGGACTGACACATGTTCAAGAAAAGGACTGTTATTCAGCTCGGCTTCCACATCGGCAAGCTGGCCAGCTGGCGTGGCCTGGATCGTATTGCTAAGCGCACTGAGGATCGACACGCACTCCGCTAACAGCCCCAGCGCGGAAGCCAGCGTGCCGGCACGAACTCGCGCATCCCTGGAATTTTGAGCGCCACGCGCGGCTTCGGTGGCAGACGTCAGCAGCGCACAAAAGCATGCCAAGGTGTCCGAGGCTGTCAGAGCGCGCATGACGCGGGCTGCCAAGTCCACCACAGGGGGGGCTGCTCCAGAGAAGCTCCCGGAAATAGATACGACAGCGGCACGAATACTCAAGTCATGGAACGCAGCTACGAGGCGGCGGCGGAGGAGGACCGCAAAATCTTCTGCGGGGTAGCGTAATGCCACGGCGAAGAGAGCGAGCAGCCCGCGCTGAGATGTTTCACCCTTCACAACTTCCCCGAAAAGCAGTTTTGATGCTGCTGCTGCTGCGCCACTGTTGTCGGGGTTCCGAGGGTTCAGGCGGGCCAAAATTTCTGCTGTCGTTCGAATTTCTGAGATCGGAATACCGTCCCCGCTAGTACAGCTTAGCACGGCTTTACTAGCAAGGAGCTCAAGCCTTAGCGCGTCCTCTGCTGGGTTGTAAGTTGCGCCGGCACTTGGGAATCCAGTTACGGTATTCATGGCGGCCACAAGGTGTGGTGTACCTACATGGCTATGAAGGTTGCAGGCCATAGCCTCTAATACCTCTCCTGATGGTACGTTACATGGTCACCAGTTTGATACATATCACCGAGTTTCTAACCGACAGTTGGCGGTTGAAACTTGTAATAAAAGCTAAACTGAAGCTCTAGACTGTTATAAGTGCACATAAATGCACAACAAGGCACCATCAACAACGAACATCAGGCTTTTATTATTTTTGCGATTTCCATTTGCCCGGGCTACACGGCCGCCTGAACGTCAAGCATCTCCCCAGCGCCACGGAACGTGCCCTCGCCGCCCAATCTCCCACGCATGCGCAAAACGCTATTGCTCGGCCTCCGCATTAGGAGCAAGGTATGCATCCCGTGGTCTCGGGTTTCTGAGACTTCCCTTTGGGTTCGCTTTCTGCTGTCTAGGTGACTTGCGTTGCCTGGTCTTGGTAGGCGTCTGCTGCCCTGGTCCTCTCAGGTGCAGTGCACGGCCAGCTGGCCCCCTGGCTCTCCTCTTCACGAGTCTGGAGCTCACTGCTCCCCCGCAACGGAGAATCGGGTGAGACCGAGCTTTCTAACAGGGCTTCATGCCTAATAAGGAGGGGTAGGGTATCTACAGGGTGTCCGGGTTTTCTCTGTCTTAGTGAGCCTTCACCCCAAGAGCCGGATCAGGCTGGGATTGGAGAATAGTCTTCCCTGGGGTTCTCTGGGAGCTGGTGTCTACCTTGGGGGCTTGGGGCTTACCTGGACATCTAGGCGAGCGCTGGACATCTGCACGGAAAAAACATGACTCTGTGCAGCCGACCCTTTAACATGCACCATGATAAGGACTCATCAACAGCCGCTGCAGAAGAACAAACAGGGGAGAGCGAACAAGTGGTGCATGAAGGAATGCCGCATTGAGTTACTGCGCAGACAAATACAGACGAACACAGAGGCGTGATACAAAACATTCAAATACTCTCCCACTGCAAATACGTACTACGCCTGTCGCTGTCAAGCCTTGCACACATCCCATCCTTCTTGTAAGATGGAGACTCTTTTAAGAAATATCACAAGCGACGATCGATTGAGCTTCTGGTCTCGGAGAACAGATGACACGACTTACGGAGCGCATAGGATCTTTCTTTACTTTCCACACTCATCGCTCTTGAAGTGCATGAAGCACACATGACTGGAACCCCACCAAGAAAGCGTCTTCAGGGCTCACTTCCTGCACTTGGGGAGGCCTAGGGAAGGCAGTCACCCAAACCCCCCACAATAACCCAAAACTTCAATCTCCCCCGACCGGACTTTATTGTTCAAGCTGCTTCCAACTGCACCTCATCTAAAAAGGCCTCCGACCCTGAGAAGAACCCTACTTAGACATACATACACCAAGACTCGCGCCATAGGCCGCGACCGCGATCACATTTCCAAGTCAGTCCGAGCTTCGGTACATGGGCTGCCGTACACGACAACAACTACAATAACCGCTGCAACAACGGCAGCTACAAGTGCCACGCCTATAACCACACTGCACCTGCATGGTCCTCAACTCGGGTTTGTTTAACTGATGACCAGGAACGTGTCTCCTCCGTCAGAAAGAGGAAGCATGCTGATGGCAGCTCAAAGCAAGTTTGTAGTTTAGCAAGGAAAATGTGCCGCGTGTTTTGGGTTGCGCACAAGAGTATTGATGACAAGGATGAGCCTCACAGGGCGCACGCGTGCATACATATAGCGTTACTTAGGAAATGGACGTAGAGCCGGAACCCCCTTTCAGCAGTCTCTTCAACGGAGGACGTAAGCGAGGTTCCCTCCTAACATGCCTGTGCAAGGACATACGTACACACGTACAGACAGACATGTGGGGCCAGTGATGCAAGGAGACCTCCCAGCCGCCGGAGAACTTTGAAACTGCATTTCTATAATTGCCGCCAAACTTCCCCTTCAAATACACAACGAATAATGGAAATACGTAGGAAGTATTCCTGTCGTGAGCAGCACACTCTAGGGATAAAGCCAAGCCAAACCAAGGAAAGGAGAGGAAAAGGCAAGCGCCTAGAACAGGAAACCAGCCGGTAAAGCGGCGCGACCCCAACCATTAACGAAGGTCTACCTCCCTTCACAAGCACACACTTGCGGTTTGTTGAGGCTGAGCACCGGTGTGTGTATAGGGGGCCCGCCTATATGCGTGTGAGTGTGTTTTCATATATATAAATGCGTGTATGTGCATCTGTATGTGGATGTGTGTCTCATGTCGGACAGGGCCTGACGCCGTGCGTGTGTATATATGTATGTCTGTATGTGAGTGTGTGTGTTGTGCGAAAAAAATAACCCACAAAGTCATCGCCGCCGTCACGATTACCAACAGCACTAGAAGGAACACGTGCAAAAATGCCATCTCAAGTTGAACGACTGGATTGGACACCTCGTTATGTTGTGACCCGGGGCCCAGCTTTGACAGCTTCGGAATGGCAAACGGATGGACAATCTGAGGAGCGAAGACGCCGCCCCTTTGCAGGCACTAAGTACAGTAGGTAAGGTGCAGCCAACACGACCACATCGACAGCCGCAACGTCATGTGCTATCTGATATGGCAACGATTACCAATGAACACCAATCACCGAGGAGCTGCGTTGCTGAGGGGAATCCCCTGTACTACAACTGTTATTGCCCTTACGTCACTCGGCTTTTCGGCTTCCCCCCTAACCTGACTCAACATAGGCACATGAACAAGCGGGACTTCCCGAGGGGGCCGCAAGGAAAACATTCCAAGTCTCTCTCTGTCCCAAACACATCATTTATAGCGCGGATAACGCAAGAGATGTTCCAAATTATCCAAAAATATTGGATCAGACAAACCAACCTTGCTTAGACGTTTCTAGGTATATAGTTCATACTGCGCAATAAGAGAAACCGGCCAAACTGCTAGCTGCTATACTAGCCTCTTGCTCAAGCAAAACTAAAACTCCCTGCCCCTGTAGACACGTAAAGGAGAAGAGAAGACTGCAAGCCAAGGCTGGCCCGCTCGCCCTGTGCCCGACGTTGCGCTGTCGTACAGGATATAATAGCCGTAGTACAGGATTAAACTCCCCCAATCCCAACCGGAGTCCCCAGCAGGATTAAACTCCTCCGTTTGTCTCGCCTATGGATGAGAAAATAGTGCGGTCTTCGTCATGTACCATAATCGATAATTCCCTGCCTTGTTTATTAACGTCGGCCGCACTGAGCGGTGCAGTTCAGCATCAAGGAATTCCGCCCCAAACGTTCCACGAAAAAGCAACAATGCAGCCAAATCATTACGCTACCCGCATCCTGATTTTTTATTGCGTTAAACGGACAAGAGCTCAAGATGTGTTAAACCAGCAAAGGTCCAAGAAGACATCCCGCGAAGCAGATCATTGCAAAGAATACCCGTCGTCATGACAACCATTTAGGCTTTTCCCCATGCCCAGCACTTTCCGGTCCCCTCCACTAAAGTTAAAATGCTCCGACCTGCGGCCCAAGCATCCGTGCTTTTGGGAGCCATGGAGCCTCTAGTTCCCTCCAATAATCGCCCAGTCGCCATCCAGTTCTCCCTCCGCCATTGATGCTGCTCCAGGAGCAGGCACGCCAACGCATTCCCCAACCGAATCTACAGCACCGTTGACCACCGCCCCAAACACGACAACTTCGGCATCTGCTGGTAATTCGCACATCTGCCGTCCGCAGACATACAGTCAGACAAACAGGCGGACATACAGTCAGACATACAGGCGGACAAACAGGCAAAAAGGTAGGTACACAAGCAACAAAGGCATTACAAGCAGAATACGAGCAGTTTGCCAGCCGGGCACAACAGCGAATAAGCGGAGACAGGTAAAACAGACAGATAGACAGGCAAACAAGCACACAGCAGACTGTGAGGCACGCTGACAGACAGGCAGTCAAAAAAGCAGGAAGACAGACCGAGAAACGAACAGATGGACAGACAAAGAGACAGATAGTCAAGCAGGCCCGCTCGACCGGCCACCTCGGCCAGCCTGGACGACTGGTCCCAATGGCTATTAGTTGTCACTGGCGGGGACCTGTGCATGCTGCTGTGGTGCTGTTGGCGTCCTCCACCCCACCCGTCTAAACGCGGCCCCCACTGCCGCACTTGCCCCTCTCTCCGTCCCACATCCGAAAATCCCCAAACCAAACACACACACACAAACACACGTAGTCCCCTCCCTCCCTTCCTGTCCTCCAACAGAAGCACCAAATGATTTAGACGCGGTGGACATCTACTTGGCTTGTATTGCCAGCTCAATTCTCTTTGTCACATCAGCACATGATTTTTTAAACGGGACGAGGGCACTTTGCCACTCTTGTGTCCGGTAGTGAACACGTGAACTGTACGTTAGAAGGTGGTCAAGCAAAATGGCAGCACATGGCAGCAAACAAGCAAGAGCAGTGGGGGGTTGTTCCCGCGGGGAGCTGGACGTGCAGATATGATTACTGCGCGGCAGCGCCGCACCGCAGCTGCTCTCTTCTTGAACTGCCCATCCACTCAATAGTGATGATGATGATGATAATAGCAATCCACGCATTTGTTTGGCACCTTCAGAAAGGAGTGAGTGCCAACAAGCTTCAGCATTGCTTTGCACATACACGAACAGCATACCCGTACCCAGACCACCCCGCACACCTCACACACACACATGCAAAGGCGCATGGCATCTTTCCCGAGGGCACCTTTCATTCCATCATAAGGCCGGCTTGACAGGTCAGGTCGGACTGTATACTCCTGCCAGCTCCGGTTCAAAGTCAGCCCCGGTCCTCTAAAACTCCAGTCCTCTTCCTTACCCTTCACGCTCTCTTCTTCTGCACACCGAGGCGTGCGAGAACTCGTATGCTTCTCATAATATCCTTTGGAGAAAATGGCTTCCCCCCCCTGCAACATCCCCTCGGCTCATCGCTGACACCGACATCCACATCGCCATAGACCACCAGTTCAAGATCAAGATCCAGGATCAGATCCAACACAGCTCTAGATCCAGCTCTGTAAAACCAGATCTACATCCATACTAAAAATCTCATATGCATATGTACATATGTAAAATCGCGCTAACAATAATATGGCTCCCAGTAATCTCAAGTCCTCAGGTCCCAAGCATTATCAAATGGTCAAACCCCAGCATCCAACCCCCCAACTGATTGCGCGACACGACACAGAGCCCATATGGCGCAACACGTCTCTTCCTTGTCATCTTTTTCGAGTTCCACGCACACCCAAAATGGTCAGCTCAACAGCGGCAAGGAAAATGGCTCTCTGTCTAGTCCTGGACCTCCTTTACTGCTCGTAATCCCACTCGCCTCGTCGGGGAACGCACGGCACCTGTTTTCGAGTTCCTGTCCAATTTTGTTCCTGTCCAATTTTCGAGTTCCTGTCCAACTCCCGTCTTGTCCCCAAACGGTATTTCCCATTTCAAGCCGTCATGGGCGTCTTTTGATACCATTTTTATTTTTTGTTTCCATCATCGCACAGTGCTTACGACACCCATTGCTCAAGACAGTCGCAAAGCCCAAAGTGGACCCCAGCCGGCGTTTACTTGAATACGCATCATTCAACATTCAATACAACCTTCCGAATCACACTGGGGCAAAGGGCAACGCGGCCAACGACACTGCATTATCGCCGTCATACATGCAAAGGGGCCAGCGGACGTCAGGCGCTACTGGTTTGGTGGTCTCTTCAAGAATGCTGCAGCATCTGCTCCTGTCGCTGTTGCCGCTGTCGTTGTTGTTGGACCCACCATCACACGGACGGACTCTGCAGAGAACCACCTCGTGCGACCGAAGGAGCCGGCCGACAACGATACCGGCGGAGGAAGTGGACTCAAGCCAGGGGTCAGCCTCTCTGGGACGAAGGGGACACACGAGCCGCTGCTGCTGCTGCTGCTGCCGCCGCCGCCGGTAGGGTGACCACAGCCCACAGGACTGCTGGGGCCGGAGCCCAAAGCACCATGGGCTGCGTCAGCTGCAGCTCCGCCATGAAGGTCGTCCTTGTCGTACAGCGAAACCTCCAAGAGGTCCCCTGTGCTAACGCGCGGAATGACGGCAGCGGCGGCGCTGCCAGCGGCGACGTAGCTGCTTTGAGGAGGAACGTCCCCATCGCCGGTTATGCCTTGATGGTGGCCTGACCCCGCCGCCGCTGCCGTCGTCGCACTCAATCCAACCGCTGCTACAGCTCCTGCCAAAACCCCCACATCGATGCCCTGATACACGTCACTAGCGGCAGCGGTGCTGCAAGCTGCTCGTGCTGCTGATGCACCTGCTACAGGTGCTTTAGCAAAGGGTGCCATATGGGCGTTGGCGTCTGCAGGCACGACGGCGACGTCCTCGAGTGAGGCGGTGCCTGCCACCGATGTCGTACTGGTGGCCGCCGCCGCCGCCGCGGTCGCTGCGTCTTGGTACTCCCGAATACGATTCAGCACGGAGTGCGGTGAAGTGGCCATATACTTGGCATCCAAGTCGTTCCTTCTGGTCGGACATTCTTGGTGCTGCGGGATGGTTGGATCACGGAGGAGCATTCGACATGAAAGGAGTGACAGAAGTAACAGAACTGAAAGAAAACAGATATTGAGTGCGTCCAAAATTCGAAGCAGCCTGCGGGCAGGACGCGGTGCACGTAAAAGGCAAAAGAAGCAGCAGGCAGACCCCGCCTCGGAAGCCCAGAGCCGACAAAGCGCTCCTTTCGGACTCTTCTGGGCGGTCCAATGGCCAAAGCACTCCAGCAACAACGCGCATGCGTGCAGCACGCACACATGCGCGCAGCCCTTCAACTCAGCAAAACACAATAACTCGTCGTTATAATCATGAACATCTGCATGTGCGTGCGCAGTAAACAAGCGCGCACGTCGAGCTTTGCACACATCGCCCTGCGCATCCGCGCATGCCGAAACACCTACCTACCTACCTACCTATTATCTTACCTACCTACCTACCCACCCTACCTACTTCCCTACCTGCATAATCAGCATTATCTCTTTGACAATCTCTGACGCCGCTGGCCGACTATCCGGGACCCTGTCCCAGCAGCGAATCAGCAGCCGCTGCAGCCGCGGGGGGCACCGCCCGGCGGCCACCGCGTTGTCCAGGAGCAGCCGCTCGTCCAGCAAGGTTACTACAGGGCCAAGCAGGAGAATCGGACAGACGTGCGTATGTGCGTGTATGTGTATATGTACATGTATATACACAGATATACACACAGATATATCCATATGTACATGTATGTATGTTGTTACAGGGTGGTTAACTTCGCCAGCGGCCCCCTTTCCCGGGGCAGTCCCTGCTCTCCCCTGCTAGAGGGGCACCCTAATCCGTCACCCCATCCGACTTCAGAATGTATTCGTTGGGTTCGGCAACTCACCACCAGCATCCAACCAAATCTACCGGATCAACGGCGCATCAACTTAGTTCCTGGTCAGCTCGCAAGTTGATTTTATCACGTCCTACATCGTCCATATGATGGGCGGCCACCTCCCATTTCATCACTCCTCGAACACCCGAGGAGTCGGCAGGCGGATTTGGACCCGGGTCGGCCGGGAGCAGAAGTCAGGCCTTAACCTCTGCCAGCCGCCTGCCTATAATGTATATATGTATGTATATATATATGTATATATATGTATGTATGTATGTATGTATCTGCATGCATACATGCATGCAGATACATACATGCATACATGTGTTGTATGGTCGGGGTTACGTAACCCGACCTGCAGACCTGCTGCCCGATACAGGCCCGGGGTCCAATCACGACACCACAAAGAAGGAAAAAGAATGGAAACATGGCCACATGCAACTGAACGCTTTGCACCAAACATACGCGAAGGGAATTTAGCCTTCAAATCCCGGTGAGACCAAATACATCCGAACAGCCTGGCTATATGTTCATGCAAGATGCAGCTAAGGAGATGTCGTCCAGATTCCTTATGGCCGGAGACCTCGTTTCCTATGCTGAGACATCTTATATGCCACAGAGTATGCAGAAGGGGCTGTCATGTAAAACGTGGGTGCACAACAAGCTCATCCTTACACCGGAGGAAAGGTCTAATAGTCTAGAAGGTACCTTGGGCACAACAGCCATAACTGCACGGCGGCTACCCCCCATTATAAGGATTGAACAGGCCATTTGCCATTTGGTTGTCTGTCTCCTGCGGTCCAGCCCACCCCAGAGCATATGCCACGATGAAGAAAAAAATACGGGGTGACCAGAGGCCAAGACAACCCATGTCCGATGTGTGTATACATGCATAGTGGCGTACCTCGATATGCGATCTCCACGATCCCGCAGCCCTGCGTGATAGGAGGAGGAGAAGCATGAGAAAAACGGCGGGGGAAATTATTGGGCAAAACCCAAGCGTGGCACGCAGAGCAACACACCAGGTCAGTTTGTATATGTGGCTGAGTGAGCGGCCGTGAAGTCAGCGCAGGAGCCCTAGCTACCGGCACCCGAGCCACGTGGCCACGATGGCAGGACCCTACCGCTTCTAGCACCACCATTACAGTCACCACCACTACAGTTGCGTTGATACGCAGGGAGGCGGCGACCCATGGGTCGGCCGCCTGATGTGCGCACTGCCCCCCGATTAGCATAACAGCGAAAGAAGACCCATCTCCTGGAGTGGTGAGGGCAATAACTCCCAGAGGATTTACATGCGTGAAGCTCTAATGGAATGTTAACGGCGTGAGGGAGGCCTTTCCATAAGGGCAAGCCCAGAGACGAGTGTGCAGGACATGGAGCTTTGCGGGCTGGACTCACCTTCCAAGGTTCAACGCCACACAGCATCGTCCACATCACCACCGCCCAAGAGTAGATGTCTGGTGCCGCGAGGTGCAGTGCGGTGGGCGGGGGTGGGGCACTTAAGCGTTTTTGAGCCCCGGCAAGGGCGGCACGCGGCGGTGCACACACCCGCCCGGGTTGACAACAACACGGGACGTGTGCATGCGTTGGTGGTGTGCGCTCTGGTCCGTTATCGTAAAACGCAGGGGTACGGACCGCGCGTCTCGCACTACCAATGTGCGCGCAGAACACCCCAAAATTTGGCTGTTAACTTGCATGCAGAAGGGTCCTTTAAATACGTCTGCTGGTGGCTTTAATGCGGAATCCTGTGCTCCCAAAACCTAGGCAGTGTAAGCCAAACACTGGCATGTACACGGGCAGGTGCCATTTGGAGAGGAATGAAGCACACATGCTCAATATTTTCGCTCAACGGTTCAGAAGAGGAAACCCTGTGTGGGTTCGAAACCCTAAGTTAACTGACTTCTCACGCCATCGGCCCTCCCGGGCCTAAGCCCCTCCTTAGCAGTGCGAATGATGGACTATATTTAATGTCTCCGAAACCTGCCGAGTGCTGACCAGCTATCCCACTGTCCCGCTACTCGGCAACTTACCGACATGATGTGTAATGCACTTGTTACACAAGTCGAAACATTCTGCAGCAGGTAAAACGGGAGCGAAAGGGTTCGATGAGAGCTCGGGTTGCGGAGGGTTGAGGAGGGAGTTGCCCCAAAAAAAGCTTGTCAGGGACCAATGTAATACAATGCGGTAGCAATAGGATTGGATGCAGTAGCAGTAGCAGTAGCAGTAGCAGTAAGTCTGAACCGTTCAGAAGAATCGTAACCTCGCAGCAGCAGGGGCAACGGCCCACTGATAAAAACTACTGCGGGCCTACGACATTGGTATTAACACACATTATCTATTGCTACTGCCGCCATATTCTATTCGTTAAAACAGCAAATGGCGCCAGTGGCAACGAGCCATGGCACCAAAGTGCAAGGCATGAAGATGTCGGCAGTAACAACGGCAGCTGCGGCGAGGCGATTGGTGCTGTTACTTCCGACTGTGTCATTGGGCTCACTAGTACTTTTAACCAGCGCCACCAGCATCACCGCCCCAGAGAATGGTCTGAGCAGCCTACCCTGGCACCCCGCAGATACGCGCTCTCCGCATGTTCGTCCCTGGTCATCCGGATGAGACCATGTGCATGCAGTAGATCGCTTGTCGGAAGTGTTCTGTGCCACATCATCACCATCATCATATCCATAATAACTATAGTAATAATTACTATATATTGTTGCCCCTAGCCCTTTGTCCCAAGTTTACCTGGAGCCATGTACGATGGCTGTCGTACGGCATATTGTACCGTGAATGCCGGGCATCGGGGTGTGGCACCAGGAGGGGTGAGGGGTGGGGGGAGGCAGAGAGCACGGGAAAAATTACATACCATGCTCGGGTGGGCACGGAAATGCAAAACAAATAGTTTAGATTATTGCCATAAAGGCGTCCCAGGGTGCGATACACCGCAGGCCACCTTACTCGCCAGATAGCATAACGTTCGAACACTCACCCCAATCCATCCGGACATCAAACCGCAAGGCTCATTGCCCCACTCCATCCCTACCCCACACACGCAACGTCACACCACACACTCAGACTTCCATTCCCTTTCCCCCACACACACACCCACGCAAGTATACACCTGTTCGCATAGTATTGCACACAACTAATCCGAACCCACCGCTCCTTACAAAACCTACCGTGCCCGCCTCGGGGTGCTTCGTGGAGGCGACGGTGCAGCGAAGCCTGGATAACCCAAAGTCCTGCGAGACGGGTTACAGGTTGCGATCTGTAAGGCGCCGGGACTTCGGTGGCGGCGAGGAGGCAACAGACCAGCAGGACGAGTCGGCAAATGGAAGCTCTATTCCGTCAAATAATCAGAAGGACAGTAAATTACAAGGAACTGGAGATGCTGGAGGCGCAGCAATCCATATCACGTCGGCTTATTATATACCGCCATTTAACCATATAGCTGAAGCTACAAAGTAAACGCTTTGTCAGGAGTTCATAAGTTAAGGTGCAAAACTGTGAGCGACTCAGTCCCCAAGGCATGATGAAACTACTAATGATTAGTTTCCCCTTAGTGAGGGAGAAAACGCTGGTCCGCACTAAGCGGCATACCTGGTTCCGCTTCTCTGTGATGATTACACTTTGCACGAGATGGGGGGCCTAAGTAGGAGCTTGTTTTGGGGAGCTTCGGCCCCTTATTGCAGGGGGCCTGGATTGCGCACAACGCTGACATACTTGGCCTGCGTGCCAGTGCTTGTCTGCGTAGGTGTGTGCATGTGTGTTGTGTATAAATGTATAAGTATTAGCGGCTCGCATGAATCACTGAAAGGTTCTTAAACAGTCCTGGACGTCAGTGTTGCTGTGTGTTTGATCAGAAATCCGTTACGACTTCAGGCACGCAGTGTGTTCGACTTAGGGGCACGACCTTAACACTTGTGTCGCCACAACCCCTGCACATGCTTCTAGCATGTTGAATAGATTGCAGGTTCATTGAGGCAATGACGTCCTTCGCTCTAGCGCGTACAGGGAATAATGTAGAAACCTAGGCGTGCAGGATGCCTGAAGCATATCTTCAGGACCAGCCGTAAGGTGATAGTTGCAGTTGCAAATTGCATATGAAATCGGATTCCGGAAAATCATACAGAAGCAAATGAAGGATTTTGCCGCAGGGCGACGCAGAAGCAACGTGTACAGAGCGTAGCGAAGCATTTCAGCAAAGTACTTCGCTACTTTAAATGCAGGTTGGTTTCATGACTATATTTGCTAGGTTGCTCGGCCTAGGTTGCTCGGCCAGCGGCGGTACGGAGCGCGTTCCGTGCTCGTTCCGCGCCTCGACCCAAACTGGCAACACACAACGTTACGCACACTAAAGCCATTTCCCTCTTTACAGGAGGTGTGCCTGCGCTGACTAGAGCGCAAGTCTGTGATTTTCTTTCAGCCGGAAATTTGTTGTACAGTAATGTACACGTGGCCAAAGAGCCCAAACGTTGAAATTTGCAATGAGCACTAACGACCGTTCCCTTATGATCCACAACACAATCCACCCAAGTCTATCCATTACCAATTGTAGAAAGGGCCCGCGTGTCGAAATACTTTGCGCGCGTGCATTGTACTTTGCCGCATGAAGTGGATCCTTGCCTTGCCGCAGTAGCCCAGTTGGTCAAAAGGTTGCTTTGCAGGGCACTAACATTGGATTTTTTACTTTTATGCATGCCCCAGTATCTACAGCAATCCTTTTCGCGATTTCCGATTTCCGTGCACCTTGGGTGTACATGAAGTTCTGGCCCTGAAGCTTATTTGCTGCGAAAGGCGCTGGAATACGTCATCGTCAGATACATGAACAAAATGACCCATAGTCCAGCGTCCATAGACATAATTCCTCAACGTAAGATACAGTCACTTAGCGCATAACACTCTATCAACTATTTTCTTCTACGTTGCAACGGCTTGAGCCGTACCAAAGAAGCCCTGAACATTTCCAAGAACCATTTTTGTCCATTAGGAGGCTCAAACACTTGCAACCAAAGCATACAAGGACTCACCGAGACTTTAACAATAGGCTCCGGCGTGTTAACCTTGCTGAGGAGGACGTTGTCGGGCTGCCATCCAGGGCAGAAGGGGCAAAAGGGTCGCAGGCAGAGAGAGTTGGATGGGATGCGCAAAACACCGCCCAGAGAATCCAAGGCGCAATTAAAGAACGCCCAGAGAGAGACAGAGAGAGACAGAGAGAGAGAGAGAGAGAGAGAGAGAGGGAGAGAGGGAGAGAGAGAGAGAGGGAGAGAGAGAGAGAGAGAAAAGATCCTACCTTCAGATCTCGGTGCACGATAGTGGGATGCAAGTACGCCAGAGCTTGTGCAATTTCACATCCTATGTGCAGGACCTGCAGCATTAGCAGTTAGCAGTTGGGCCGTTATGCTTCGTTGCTTTGTGTCAAAGCAAAATGATTCGCATCAAAGCATATTCCACTCCAGGGTGGGACGTGGCCATGGACAGGCTACAGTGAATCATAATAGCAATTTGGGTCCATTAGCACGCCTGCCAGAACTGCTGTGCTGATGCTGTCTGTGGTTCTGCTAAACGACCATACCACACCACACCTACTTGCAGACGAGCACAGATGCAAGTGCGCTATTCATATCTGCAGTCCCCACAGCAATTCGAAGTTCATCATCCCCCACCACCATCCAGCGATCCCAGTCCTGCTCGACGCCACCTCACCATGGGCAGTGGCAAGAGCTGCTTCTTGGTGCCCCCAAACACAAGCCTTTGCAAACTCGTCTCCATGAGCTCCATCACCAGGCAAAACTGCGGCGGCTGGATGCACGCCGCCAATAGCCGGACAACATTGGGGTGGCAGCACCGCCCCAACACCTCAACTTCCTGCGCAAACGTCTTGGCGATCTCGTCCGATGCGCTGTGACCGTTGCCGGCAAAAAACTCACGAACCAGTTTGACCGCCACACGCTGATTGCCGTACAGCCCTTCGCACACCTTGCCATAGGAGCCCTTGCCCCGTACGGTGGGCAGCAACGTCACCTTCTGGTCAGGGTCTTGCCACAGCTGCAGGTCCGGCCGAAGCGGCGTGAACGGTGTCACGACAACGTGTCGATGGTGCCCTCCGCTGCTGCTGCTGCCGGTGCCGACACTGCCGGCCTCACTGCTGTGACCGTAGCCAAGCGCACCATGCGGCTGCTGCTCCTGCCGCTGCGAGGATTCCCGCTGCTGCTGCTGCTGCTGGCGCTGCAACTGTTCCTGCACCTGCACCTGCACTGCTCGAGCCTGCGGCGCTCCATGCTCTGCACCAAAGGCTTGAGCTTGTTGCTTATCTGCAGACTCCTGCTGGTCGTGCTGCAAAGGAGGCGGCGGCGCCGCCGCCGGCTTAAAGTTGAGACCTGTGAGGAGGACGCTTGAGGTTGCCGAAGCATCACCTGCGGGACCTCGCGACGGGTGCACCGGCACATCGCTGCCCAGGTCACATTCGCTGCTGTTATTGCCTGTAGTAGTAGTGGCGGCGTCGGCGCAATTCTTATCTCGGCCTGCGGTGATGACGGCCGCCGCCGCCGCCGCCGCCGCCATCTTCGCATCGACCGCCAAGGCCGCGTCCTTGATACCCCTTCTCTTCTCGCCGACATTTCCTGCCGCACAACGTAGAGGGGCGACAACAGACACTGTTGCCGTCCCTCGCCACCACACGACCACAAGATATCCAACCCGCAATCCAAAGCACTGAAAAAACACACTGAAAATCGGGTCCCTAGCATGCCAACACCGTAAAGTCCTGGTAGGTCAATAATGGCTCCAGTTCCGCTCAGCTCCACAACAGATGGGTTCCAGGGCTCGTACTCCAGGACGCATTCAACAAAAGTAACGAGCCGTACACGCGCAGCCGCTTCTGCCGCCCCCCCCAACCACATTGGGTTCACCTATCCGCTTACAGCCCCCACGTACCTAAGCCCTGATCGGGGCTGCTCCTCAGTCCAAAGGAAAGGCATCTCTCCGACGGGAATCTGTTGACGGAGCTCCTGAGCCCGGGGAAGGGGGTGGGGACAGGTGAGGATGTACGTTGGTTAAGAGGCTAGCGTAGAGATGAGTGCGCCGGGATGCAACTTTGCTTTTCGGGACTGTAAAGTTTTCAATTGACATACACAAACATCCTGTAGTAGCCGTACACAATACGGCACCTTGAACAACTACAAATACGTGTGCTAAGCGCTTCACCAGCATCTCGAGAGGCCTTTTCCGCGGCGGCCAGGTACTACACACCCATACACATATGGATTGTCCGCCATCGGGGGCATTTAGCGCATCACGTCCAACACTTTTCTTGTCGGCACAGCCTTTCTTTCCACAGCTTAAAGACGAAGCTGCACCGCAAGTGAGCGGTAGGCACGCCCGGACGCTGGTCTTCCGCCTCCCCCACATCAAAGCCACAGAACCACAGGATGGAATTGGTGTTCATTGAATGACAGCGGCAGCGACGCCCTTGCATCACGGCCGTCCGTCGTCACCGGCAGAGGGGCTGTGTTGGGGGTCCAGGCAGTGCCGCCTTCCGTAACTCTTACCCGGCAACGGCCATAAAATCGCACATCTGGCTGTCGTACGATGAGCGGCTCTCCTTGGCTGGCTGCTGCTGTTGCTGCTCCCGCCGCCGTCGGGTGGAGATAACGGCAAAAGCCGCTACCGCCGCTACCGCCGCCATCATCGCGAGGCCTGTGTAGCAGGTACGGACGCGCATGTGTTCCGTGTTTGTCCGTATGTCCACCATCCCAATGAGGACAACCCCAGGGGCCGTAAATTCCGGGAACCGTCTCAAGGGTGGTGAAATACCTATCCGATATCGGCTACAAGCGTATAACGGGAAAGGAGGAGCTCAACCTTAGGTTAGGTTAGGTAGAAATTACGAGACCAACGACGCGTTCGCGCTCTAAAATGAGGGCAGGAGCTGCAACTGCTAAGGTGGGGCGGAAGTATGAAATGGAAACACGTCATCAACGCGCCTAGGTCTGCCGGAAGACCTCAACCCGTTGCTGAGCGGCCCCTGGTACGTGTGGCACCACCTTACCCCCAACAATCGACCCTGTCAGCACAGCCGGCATGGCCCTTTGGAGGTGCTCTCCGCTGGGCGCCTGGAGCGCGGGATCAGCTGGCCCAGTGCCGGAGGGCACAGGAACGTATCGGTTGGCGCCCGGCACTGACCCCCCTGGCGCAGCTGTGGTGGTGGTGTTGCTCGTGTTGTTCATGTTGCTGCTGCTTAATATGATTTGCTGCCGCTTTAGACAACCGTAAGGTGAGTAGATGATTAGGCATGACAGGTCCAGAAGCTTTTTGCACAGCATGTAAGTATCGACCAAGTGCACCTGAGGAGGAAGCGGCGGCGAACAGGCGGCGGCGGCGGCGGAGATCAAAAGAGGCGGCGTCATGGGAATGGTCTGTCTGTATTCCAAAGTGTCGAGAATCAAACAACTGGTGCATAGCATGTGCATGATACCTTGACAACGCTTACCTTTGAGCTAAAGAAGTTTAGTTTTAAGTACAGTTGTCAGTTGTCAGTTGACATGGTTGGTGTTCATGGCCAACCGTGATCGGAAGGAAGACATGGAAGGAAGCTAGGGGGGGAAAGAGCCCTCCATGCATCTCCGCTAATACGGTGATGCTACCGCTAACATGGATATGTCACGACTGTAGGAATGATTAAGGAAAAAGTTAGAACTTGAATAGTTTCTAGATAATTCACAAAACCTACTGTTTCAGTTGCTGTGGTCGCTGCTTCTGCTACTCGATATCTGTTCATGCAGATCGAACGAAGCTCCCCTTACCAGCAGTGTGGCTTCGCTGGGCGCTTCCACAGCCAAAACCACCCGCCGCCAGGGTCCCGCATCCCTGGCCAGCCGGCCCCAAACCCATAATACGCCGCCACCTCCACCACCACAGCAGCACCACCACCACCCGGGACCTCCTTTCCGATGTCCTAGCTAGAACGGGGTGCATCCACAACCTACTCACCAGGTAACCGTTTCTCACGTATTGCCGGTTTTCATTGTACACTCCGCCGCGCACGGCGAAATCTTGGCAGTACGCAACGTGACCCCAGCACCGGCGCATCGGTGGCGCGAAAATGTCCGTCGTACAACCGACGGCGGCACCAGTGCCGACGCCATACAGGCCTCCACCCATAGCCCTCAAGCCACCTGGAATGTCTGCCGAAGCATTGTAGGTATTTATGCCTGGGATGGAGTCAGGCCGCGCGCTCAAACCTATGAACCCACTGTGGATTCCCATGGGCCGATGCATCAAGGGCCATTTAGTGGTGGTCGTCAGTGTTAGGCTTTACAAGAAAAAAATACCGCAGAAAGGTTTGTGGTTGGACCATTAGACATGTGGACAGGCATGGTACTGCACATGCATGCACGGGCACACGGACAGCTTCGCCGTGCTGCAGCCGCCCGTACACCAAAACATGCATCCAGTTACTCATGCCCTTGTTTACCAGTTCCATACTGCTCTATAACCATGCACCCATACATTTACATCCATGCCCACCACCGTGCCCATGCAGCCAGCCCAGATGATGAGCCTGCTACGACGGGTGTATTGGACGGGGGGGGGATACGCGCGGGCTTCTAGGGCTTATTTCACCAGAACGCCTGGCATGCTAACAAACCCATACAGCAGGAGAGGTCTTTCACTCTGCCCCGCTCCGCCCTTCCCAACTCGCACGCGTAGCGCCAACGGGCTTCAGGCTCACCTTACAAACTCCGGCGGGTAGCACCACCCAGCCGAATAGGCAGCGTGCTGGAGGGCCATGGTACCCACCATGCCGTCCGGCTGCGGACGGTGCGACAAGCGCCGCATGGACGCGCCGCAGAGGGAAGGAAGGGTGTCAAGGGGCAGCGATGACGGAGGGGCGCTTCTAAGCCAGGGAGGGCGTTAAGAGGATATACGCGGTATCGTCAGTCCAGTCGGGGTCGGGCATGAGGGATACCGTGGGCGGCGACATGGAGCAAACAGCTCTAGGCGGCGTGCACGAACACACACCGTTGCGAATGTCCCGTCTTTATTTCCTTCATATGTACGGTATCTGTATCCGTACCATTTGTGCAAAGAGCTCTGTCGACGCGCCGCTGCTAACGTCGTCAAACAAATCCAAGAGGATCGCCCAGCGAAGTGTCAGAGTTACACCGTTTCCGAGGCGCAGCTGCGTGGGGCGTTACGGCAGATGGGTAGCAAAGGTTTTGATGCATGCACAACCATGTTCGAAGTTGCATTTACGTTCAGACATACCATGGAAGACCCTCGTTTGGTTCTTAGATCGCAAGAATGTAATTAGGCACCCTCATAAAAATCATAACACCTAGCACCGCCGCAAGCAACGAGGCCGAAAGCACCTCACCCGCACCCCATCTCCCGCCACTACGGGCGCGTATCGACCGGGTTTGGGGGTTTGGAAGTGTATTTCCGGTGCCCGCCTTCCGCCGCATCTTTCAGCCCCGTCCCCTGCCCCCCTAGCTTTGAGTACCCCAGGCCAGTCCCTTCCCAGACTAGAACACACACCTTGCTGTAGGACACCGCATCACGGAGGTCCCCGCACAAAGGTCAGCGAGGCGGTTTCCACGTCATGCAAGCGGCCGTAACGGAGCATTTGTGGATTCCGCGAACAGCGACGAAGGACGAAGCATGTGTGGTTGCCATTTTGCAGTGCAGATTTTCAAGGCAGGTGCGCGGAATGGTGGTGGGTCCAAACATAATGAGACAAGTCCAGGGAAAGTCCAGCACAATTCAAGGAGTTCATGGCAGATCCCAAAGCGCAGGATAGCATAGTGGCATCCAGCGGCCCTTGGATGCCAAGGCGGTGCAGTGGCAGCGTTGGTTCAGTCCAGAGCCCCAAGTCTATGTAGCTAAGTGAACTGCAAATTCCGGCGTTTCACGACTAGCGAAGGATTCTAAGGATTGAGCACCAGACGCATTAGTTTAAAATGCGAAAGCAGGAGCTGGGCGTTGCATGTGCAGGGATGGCCACGTGGATGGACCGGAGCGGCAATCCCTGGAGTCAAGTGAGGGTAGTTGGCAGGATGCGAATTTGAATCGCATACTTGCATTTGAGACTGGACCTGGCAAAGGAACAGGAAAAGGAATCCTGACAGAAAACGCATGCTTGATTGCTTTGGTGCTGCAGTTGATGCAGCCGTAGCTCGTGGATATAGAAAGTCCAGCCACTGGCCGACTCATCCATTCCCACTGGCCTGCCCATCCAGCCGGGAACCCCACTGTTGTTTCCAGAAGCTCCCCTCACCCGTGAGGCAGTGAGCAACCCGCATATACACGGCCAACGCCGTCTACCCACACGCCCATGGCCCCCAACACATAGGCAAGCCCGTCATCCAGCCGGCAAACATCCTCCTCCGCCCAGCCTCTCATCCTCACCCACCCATCCGCAGCCAGCTAGACATACCCACCCGGCTACTTACACACTCCCTCTCTCACACACACACGCACTCCCCCCTCTTACACATACACGCCACACACACCAGCTCGCCCGGATTCCCAGCCGCAAGCATAACCACCAGTCCTCATGAGCCGGGAAAAGCCCAATCCTACCTTTGCATGTGAGTGGCGTTAATTGCTGCCCATCGGTCCTGCCTTCCCTCAATGGTTAAGTTGCGTTCCACGATCACGGGGAGCCCGAAACTGGCCGAGAGCAGGCCGAGAGCCAGAACGACGGCGGCGGGGGGGCAGGTGTATGGTGCGGTAAGGAGGTCTTGCCAATCGGCAGGTGAAGTGCGCTGGAGCACGTGTGCACTGGGCGGATAAGACATGAGTATGGCCGTATCGAGTGACGTGAGGTGGTTTTGACCGACCTTGCTCCAATCCTTTCCTGTACAGTGCGTCATGCACGCCTTACATTCCCTCGCACAAACACGTACAAGCATCCAGGTACGTAACCCCTGAAACACATATAGCCGCACGTACATGCACCCGCACGTGTAAGACAGGGTGTGGTTTGCGTTTGTGAGGGCGCGTGTGTAGGCACAGGCGCGCTTACCCCGCAAAATCCGCCGCCGTGAGCCATGTGTAGTCACTTGCCAGCAGCAGCGTTTCAGGGCCCGACGTGGCCGCGATGGCCTTCACCAAGTCAGCTCCGGAATAGATTTCAAGAGAAGTCGCGTTTCGGCTCTGGCCTTGCTGTGCGTGCACCAGGCTCGCGGAAAAGAGCCATGTGCAAATTGTTATTAGGATAAAGACCATAACAGAGGGACGCCAACCGTTCTTGCTGTGTGTCTTTTTAACGCTTATGGTGTCAGCATGACATTCTTGGAAGCTCGTCAAACACGATGGTCGGATCTCTAGACAACACCATAGCAGGAAAGGAATCACCAGGTACAAGCATCATATGTGTTCTTTGCAGAACCGTCGCCAGGGCTGCCATCAGCATCGTGCAAACGAAAGATGTACTAAGCTCCTCTGTACGAAAATGTTAAGGTTTAATGCCCCACATACAATTTAGTAGGAAGCAAATCCCAGAGGTCCTTTTGAGCCTTCAAATAGCACTAACTCAACCAGCCTGTTGTCGGGTTTTGTGCTTCCGACCATTGTACTGTTTCGTGCTTTCAAAAACGCAGGTCACTAATGCAAAACAGAGAATAGCACATGTTTCTGGATACAGGTGAAATACACCTTACATGAGCTCTGACGTTCCCGTCGGACTTATGATGTAAGAATACGAGAATTGTACCGCAGAATGCTGGCTCGTTACGATACGAGAAAACCCCATCAGTATATTATAAACATCAAAACGGCATTACTGATAAAAATCAATTTATCTTCTTGTGCCTTCTAATGCATTCCGGTATATAATATCGTGCATAAATATTGCAAATGACTACAGCACAACACGCAAGCCGCACAAGCCGCACACAAGAAATGGATGAACACTAGAATAACCTGGTACATGGTGGGCCCTATTACCAATGCTCATTTTCTGATTGTGATCTGTTCCACAGTAACTGGCCTGCGCAAGGGCATAGATTGGTTCCAAGTGTACCGCAATGGGCAGCCGATGTCCTTCATGGTGCACAGGTGTAACTCATAACTTAATACAAAATCCTTGCAGGATCCGCAACTGTCTTAGGAATCAAGCATATGCTGTCAGAAAAGCACTTGACTTTTATCTTTTACGGCACAAAAACCAACTTGTTGTCAATCAATGACTTTGAGATGTTCAGGCATAGCGGTGCTGAGCGCCCCACGATGCAAGCTCCTGCAGAAGAGCAGGACGGAGCCGGAGAGAGATGTTCAAAACGGAAGCACCCCACCGAACTTCGTGCAATTACAGGCGCCCGCTGTGCTTCTCGCAAACCTAAGCAGGTGCTTAGGCTGCAGCCGCGTTCAGACCGCGAGACACGCTTCCCACGTCTGTCGACTTACTCAGGCACAACGACCGCTTGTGCCCGAATAACCGGAGCCCGAAAGCATCGATATTGGTTTCCCCGGACTGTACAGAAAATGGCGTACGGGAGCTTATGAAATCCATTCTCCATATGCATAAGTTTGTGACGTGGTCTTTCCCCCCGTTTGACTTTCGAGGTCAGCGACTGTACGGATCAAGCTTGGCGGGGACTATATGCCGCTACTTCTGTGGCACCCTCATGCTTCGACAGTCCCATCCTGCTGCTGTTCGCTTTTTTCGCTTTTGGCGGATAGGACTTGAGCAGTCGCCACTGCATGCCGCTGAACAACCCAAGGCGAGTGCATTCCATTTGCATCTCCTAAAAATTGAAGATTCCAAAAGGCTGTCCTGACAATAATAAGGAATGTTGTCGGTGACGATGCAACAGCAGCCATCCCGGGCAGCCATGCAAATGGTGCAAATGGTGACGCCCGAGGTGGGCGCCGTCCGCGCACTTTTTGTCCATGGCCCCCATTAACAACTGCCTTCAACGCCACCGTCGTTTAGGTTTTTTTGCATCTGCGTTGGGAAGCTTGGTGAGTAGTACGGGTGATGATTATGGGGGGGCAGCAAGCGCAGGCGCTTGACTGTGAACCAAGCGAATTAGCTAGGAACAACAAGGAAGCTCAGGCATTGGGCCGTGATGGGGGAGTCATTGCAATGGACGCTTTGCAAAAGCTCTCATGCCCACGGTGACAAGTCGGGTGTCGGCTTCCTCGAAGCCGGGAAAAGGGCGGGCCCCCCCTGCATCCGTACAGGCCGGTAGCTAGCCCGGCACGTGTGACAATTGATGGGTAGTGTCAACGCGGTGGGAGATGTGCTTTGTTGCAGCAGTGCTGATGGTGTGAGAGCTAAGCTTGCACCGGCGGAATCGTCAGCACCTCCTGCGGGCTCCACGCGAATCGCATCCATCCCGGGTGCATGCCGCATGGACAGTGCGGCAGACCGCAAGTCGGAATGCCCGTGCGGGCAAATGGTAACGAAAGCTGGGTGAGTTTCGGTGCTGTCTGTGATGTTTATCCCCGAAGCGCCAGCGGCCTCAGCAATCCGCCCCACAGCCGCGGGCTTCAACGGGGCACACCGCAAGTCTCCGGAGGCCCCGAGCATTGGCTAAAGTAAATGTACAAATGAGCAGCTTGCGTATTTCATAGAGAAATGTAAGCATATTTGTCGGCCTGCTGGTGGCGAGTCGGAATGCCCGTGCGGGCAAATGGTAACACAAGCTGGGTGTTCAAGTTATCATACGCTGTCATCTCGGAAATCAATGATGAGATACACGGCACCTTTTTGAGATGAAATTTAGCGCGAGAGGCGTTGATGTGACTTTTGAGGTCGGTGAATGGAGGCAGCCTAGCTTGTTTGTGCTCATACGATCTTTGTTAGCTACATGCGAGATACCTTGCAATAGAGATTGCTATATAGTACCGATAACGCGTTTCAGCCGGGTGAAATATTATGTTTGGTCCGTTACACACTCAAGGCCTGGGAGTTATCATACGCCGTCATCTAAGAATTCGAATATGAGATACGCGGTACCTTTTGAGATTAAATTTAGCCCGAGAGGCGTTGATGTGACTTTGACCTCGGTCAATTGAGGCAGCCAAACCTGTTTGTGCTCATACGATTTTTGTTGGCTACAGGCGAGATACCTTGCGATAGAGAATGCTATATAGTACCTATAACGCGTTTCAGCGGGGCGAGATATTATGTTTGGTCCGTTACACACACACGGACACACACACACACACACACACACAGTACCGCGGCCCTTAGGCCTTTGGATACGGAGATAGTATGCCGTTTTAATCTCACTATTCATCATTAAATAGTGAGAGTATCGAGATTTGTTCGCGTGCAGCGGAAGGTATTGGCGCCCCTTCCCAGGCGTTGGCTCCGGCCGCCCCTGTTCCCCCGCTGGCCACGCCCTGTTGCTCGCCCCCCTTGGTTGGCTGCTTGCCGCCTGGTGGGCTGCCGGCGTGTCGATCACTGATGTCCCAGACAACATTCGAGTCCTGAAGGCAGTCCACTGCGGTGGTTCGGATGCTGAACTGCTTCCGGCAGGTTCCGCAGTAGTGAACGGGTACCTCCAATTCAATAGGCTGGTCCCACGTCACCACGGTGATCGGACAAGACAGTGGTTTGCCGGAGCTCTCAGCCCGGCACGTAGGGCAGGTACTGACGTCCGCTGCGGCGACTGCATTCCTGAACGTGACCCCCGCCTGATGAAGCAGATTCTTACGTGATGTAACGGTTTTGTGGACGAAATTAAAGTATACCTCTGCCACTAGCTGGCGGGAGTTCGCGTCCTCACTGAGGATGATGGGCCTGGCAGGCCCATCATCCTCATCGGTGTCCGAACCCTCACCCGATGATGCATCCTCCTCACCCACGGCATTCACATCATCATGTATACGATTAGTATAGAAACACTCTTCTATGGATTACAGAGAAGAAACGGTTCGGGGAGTACGTTTTGAACCGTCGTTCATCATTACACCTAATAAGCTTGCTGCTTTTACAGCATCAGAACGTTTCGGAGCTGCTGAAAAATTACCAAACAAAAATGCAAATTGTTGCGATTTTGACGGGGAGGGTTTACATTCCCCGTGTGAGGCCTTGCACCGTTCGTTTTGGGGTCCCCGTTCCATGACTCTCACGTGCACGGGGACCTCGCTATAGCTCAGGTATTTTAGCAGAGAAAAAAATTCAGCTGCGTTCAGCCCTGGTTTTGGATTGAAGACGTAGATGCAAGACCTCGTTTGTTACATTTGTCGGTTTATGGCCAGTCAAAAGTCAGTTGGAGAACCCTTCATGTTGGTTGTCCGTATCCGCGCGTTGACTCCCATCTCTGGGGAAGAACCCCCGATTAACCGACTCGTTAATCGATTACATTGAGATAGCCAAGATAGTCAATATAGCCAAGATAGTCAATATAGCCAAGATAGTCAATATAGCCAAGATTGTAGTTTCAGTAGAACCCGAATGGCTCGAGTTCCGCACTGAGTCAACGCCCTGACAGCCAAGCACTGTGAGCTTCACATGGCCAAGCATACGAGCCTCTCTAGCAATACCGCACTAGATTGCAACCATAAGTACATGGCTAGAGGACGACGCAACCGCCTTGGCAGAACGTTGCACATTGGGGTCTTTGCGCTGCGGGCACGAAGCTTCAGGGCGGGACCCGGGAATCAGCCTCTGTCACGTCACACATAGCGCATGTCCGACAGAGCAAAAGTCTTAAGTAAACAGTCCGTTAAGTGCACTGAATGTGCAGCCGTCGATTGCGTTGCCAAATTAAGCACGCACCCAAACAGGCACCAACCCACCCAACACCGTTGCACTAGCGCTACACTAAGTCCACACACCAGCCCACAATGTTCCAAAGATAGTGTGCGCTAAATTGGAAACACCCTGGATTGAACCTAATCAGGACCCAGCACGGCCCACGAGCCAAATGTCTCAATAAGACCCATCAGCACTTCTCCCAGTTGGCGCTCCTCTGCTGGGTACATCACCGCATGCACGGCGTGATTATTGCCCCCTGTGGGGGTGTAGACGGGCCCCCAGCTGGGCACCGGCACACATGCCGCACACCGCACACTGAGCCAACATGCTGACTGTTCCGAAATCCAAATCATATCGTGCAGTGGGTCATTGATTAAGTCGGGGTGCAAGTGGACTGACCCAGCACGCGCCAGCAGGACTGTCGGGCCTCGCTCCGCAAGAATTGCCGGATGTGATTCGGGACATAAAAAGGTCACTGTTTTCACCGGCTGAGGTAATTGGGAGCATTCCCAACCCATGGGCATCAATCCCCTTGGAGATTGCCGTTTGTACCACGCCCGGTCATCTGGATGTGATGCATGAAGCCATGGAGCACAGCCTAGCCTTCGAGAGCTCCGGACCGTCCGGGGGATGGGGGCCTTCGTGATGCGCATCTATTAGGGGCGCCCGCTCTTAGCTAATCCATTTTTTGTAGCCCTAAGTCCTGTTCCCCAATCCCAGGCCCTGCCCTTCTTTGGGGAAGACGAAGGTTCCCCTAAAGAGAACACTTTAGAAACACGAAGAAACCTTCCCTTTCTTCGTCCCAAAGGGAAGGTTTCTTCGTCCCAAAGGGGACAAGGGGGTTCCCCTTTAGGGGAAGAAGAAGAAGGGGACAAGGAAAGCCTTACGGCTAATGAACATTCCAACGGACCACTCGCAGGTCCCTAGTTTCCTTTTCTCTGCGTTCTCTTCACTGCGGTTACTCTGGTTGCCTGAGGACCTTTTCGGAACAATGGAACGACGTTTGCCTTGACACCTCTTAGGGTCTTTGCAGGCCTGTATTACATTGCCGTCGGGTTACGTGGACAGTCCATCACACAGGAGGTCCGGCAGGTCAGATCCATTGTGGCGTTATCCATCTGACTATATGCGTTCGAATTCTGCATATGTGCGCGCAGTATTGCGGTGCTCCGTCCTAACATATGCCGTCCCTGCGTTTTCGTTATTGGCTCTTACGCAAACACACATGTGCCTGCCGTCTGCTCGTGCTCGCTGCGGCAAAATATTGCCGCCGCTGCCATGTTGAATGTCGCAAGCTGCGGCCGGGGCCCCCCTCGAAGTGCTTCCTCCACCCGGCCCCCTTTCCTCGGCCCTTGTCCGCGACATCAGCTCAACTCTACGCCTTGAGCCCCCAACAACACCACGGCCGTATATCTTGAACACCTAATCTCCCAAATCCTGAAGCCCCCTGTGCCTGGCCCGCGTGCCGCCCTTGGCTTGCCCGGCGCGCCGCACACACATGGGCCCTCCTCACACACACCCTGTCATCACGGCTCCCCTCTCCTCCTACAGCTCCAATGCATGGGCGGATGCATGCGTCTGCGCACCAAGCCACCAGCCTACCACAGCGTGGGAGAGTCTGCGCGCGAGCCACCTGCTACTATCATGCAAATCTTTCCTAGAGCAGTGAAGCAGCTACCCTAGCCACCTTTATCGTCCGTTTTCTCTAGGAGCCCATCCCCTTGCGGGCCCGCGGGTACATGGACATGCCCACTTGCAACAAGAACCGCCGTAGCCGGACAGTATTTTTAGCTATGTACTGAAGCTTCCTCTCTGGCACAGCGGAGGACACAAAGCTCCTTCAGGCCTCCACAGAATCCCGTCACGGCGTTCCTTCCGTTCACGTACAGATGTCGTCAGGGTCTGTATTTCTTTTCCTGACTCTCACCCTCTCCTCCCTCCCCCAAACCTTCCACATCTATTTTCCACATCATTCCCCCTCCCCATCCCGCACAGAGTCAGGTGGCCGCCCCTGACCTACAGACAGACCGACCGAACCAATCGACAGACAGACAGACAGACCGGCCCGCACATGCACATGCACACGCGCGTTATTTGGATACTGGTTTCCATGAAGGGCGAATAGCCAAATAGCTTTCCCTTGGAGCTCCATAACTGGCCTCGGACGCCTCGGACGCCCCGTCCCAACCACACCGCTAGGAAACCCTCTTTCGCCTGTTCCTGCCTCCAAGGGAGCTACAGGCAGTCCCATTAACAGCGGTCCGCACATACCCAACACCCACACATCCCAGACACCCCAGAAATCCCACGCCGCCGCCCATCTTCCCCCCTCCCGCATACACATCGACAGCCTCCGTGTAAAACCAACCAATCCAGCTTAGCCATTATTCGGACCGTCCTCACCCTCGGCTGCTCCCTCTTCCTCGTCCGGAGCCGCCTCACCCTCCCCACCTTCCTCAGGCAGGAACTGCTCCTCCTCATGCCCGTCATTAGGCGCCGGCGGCTGCGACGCCACCGCCGAGGCAGCGGCCCGCGCCTCCGCCACGTCCTCGCCGCCGTCACCGTCGTACACCACCTCATCTGCGCCTTCGCCCTCCTCGTCAGCCTCCGCCACGGCCGCCAGCCTGGCGGCCTCCGCCTCCGCCGCCTCGGCGGCAGCAGCCTCTGCCGCCGCGGCTGCCGTACCCGCCAGCATGTGCGCCATGCCAGTCCCGGCGATGCCGCGTGTGCCGGCGGTTGCGGAGAGGGTGGCGGCGGCCTGCGCCGCTGCGGTCTCGACGGCTGCTGCCGCCTCCGCTGCCACCGCCTCGTCTTGGAAATGTGCGACGACCAGCATAAAGGAGTCGAAGGTGATACGGCCCTGCCAACATGCCGCATGTGCGCACGAGAGATGCAGAGTGGACCAGGAAGACG